TTTTTTAGAAAAATCAAATGATTTCATTTGATTTTCTTATTTATTGATCTTGAGGAGGGAGCTTGAGAGACTGCATTAATTCTATAGCTCAAGCGCTTCAATGTATAACTAAATAGCTCAGATCGAACGCTATGAAAGGGCAGAACCAATTTTTTTTTGATTGGCGTCGCATACCGTTTACGATGACATCATTTTGTGATCATATCATCGTGGTGTAATTTCTGACTATGCGGAACTCTATATTTTGTTGGCCCTTTTCAACTGGGATTCCTTTTCTCTTTTGAGTTACACTGGTCATTTTGGGCTTACTGTTTCCGAAAATCCAACCGATGATGCTGCTTTTCAAAATCCTTAGTTTTCTAAAGATTACTCAAACCCAGTTCTGTTGGCTGCAGAGAACTTCAATGAAAAACACATTCTATGCCATCCCTCATGGGATCTCCAAGTTCTTCCTAATTTCCTCAATGAAGGTCCCCATCGAGAGATCTTCTGCTTAATCACTAAAAAATTCCGTCGTCCTTTGTTGACTTGCAGGGCTCGTGAGTATACATAGTATTCAAGCGATTCTTCTGTTCATAAAAAATCTAAAAATTGAAACAACTTTTTCAAGGCCCTCTCCTTTAAAATCTGTATAAGTGGGATATTACAAATTCATAGGGAATCAGTAATAAATGAATGCTTCCAGTTNGCCCTCTCCTTTAAAATCTGTATAAGTGGGATATTACAAATTCATAGGGAATCAGTAATAAATGAATGCTTCCAGTTTTGTCCTGAATACATAACCCTTCATTCAGAGTGAAGATTTACTCGAGAAAAATGACTGATATTTCTGAAAAAACGAAAGAGAAACAGATAAAACTGGTACCTTGCGACTTTGCCTAAAAACTGAGGAGACACAGATCATTTCGGGATTTACTACTTTCAGTGTACCTGTATCCAGTGTACTAGAAAAAAGAAAGCTCCCAAAACCTTCTTGTAATCTCTGTTTCCCTGATCCCTTCATATGCAGAGACATTTTCCGAACCATGAATTGAAGACCTTGATGGAACAGGCTGCGATCCCAGATTCATAAGTCGGAGATGTAAAAAAGTAAGCTACCAGATGCCGAAGTGTTTTTTGTTTGTAAATATCGGATCGCTAGCTACAATTATCCCAGATGTTCGGCGATTTTCCACCAAACGAACGGGGGTGATCAATCAGGCCTGAATCTGGTTATTGCCTGGGTTTTTTGCTTCTCTAGGGGATCGCCAATGGCTCAAAGGCAATTATAATACAACAACTTTCTTATCGACTGTCGATCAATCTGTCTGTCATTGATCGATTGGCTCGGTAATTTATTTAATGTTTCGATCCGTTATGTGTGTGGGGTCCTTTGGCAAAGAGTATTCGGTTACTGATATGGCAATCCGCCCTAATAGATTCCCATCAGTTTCGGGTCATTCTGGCTCGCTCATCATCACTATCGCACAACTCTCCTCTCACTGTTCCTATCGCTCGCCGCGTGCGCATAAACAAATGTTATTCTTGTCACTGATCCTATCTGACCGATTCGCTCTGCTTTTCTCTGCTTTATTCCATTCAGCCACTCATCAACTAATTATTTTCCACAGCTTTTTGCAGATGGTTTTTCCAAAAGGATAAAAAATAACGAAGGCCTTGGCGTCGATCCTTTTTTTAAGCCTGTGCTCATAGAAACGGCAGACCTTCAAGATCGCAGTGGCGTTCATGCAATAGTTTACGAGGGCCAGCCAGGTGCGAGCCAGGGTTGCATTTTTCCAGACGTTTCAGTACCGAGGGGATACGAAAGATTCGGTTGGCCAAGGCTAGCATCGCCACTGATGCCCGGGCCATGCTTGCCGTAAAGCAATACGATCCCGATGAGCTCGCTATCCTTAACCCTCCACACTTTTCCCCACTTCATATGTAACCTCTAGCTTCCATTGAATTGTAGTGGTCATACATACTTGGTCGGAAACCATATTCATTCTGAAGCAACAAATCAGCAACGCCTATCAGTTCAGGAAGTCCTGTCGGGGAAGACGCTGAATATCATATCTTTCAATTATGGATGCAAACAGTGTCCCTGACCAAGCTTTTTTTATGCCTGGATTAAGAGCAACACTTTTCTGCTCAAAGAGGGTTTATTTATGAGTTACTGGTTTTTAGATTTACAGAGCCTAATACCCTTGGAACATTTCATAGAGGCAACAGTACGGGCAAGACTGCTGTCTGATCCCCTTCTTGGTGGTTCACATTATTGACTGGACCTCAAACTGAAAAAAAAAACTGGGAACTTAAGCAAAAGGGCCAATGGGCATACCCATCTACAGGTTGGAGCGACTTTTACTTTGTTCAAGCGATAAATTCATTGCCTAATGTGGAGCTAGTTATTGGACCCATTTTTTTGGTGAGCAAGGTTCTGTTCTGACTTCTCAGATTGCCGAATNCGTCTTTTATAATTCTTTTTTTCATAAGTCAATTCATTAAAAACTTTTAGCAAAAAAAAGCTAAAAAAACTCCCTTGCATGGAATGATCTCATCCTACACCTTAGGAGCATTCCTCATGCTCTTGACCTATCCTCTTTGTGAGACGGAGGTGGTTTAATGGCAAGGCGCACTATCATACGCGCATGATCCGGAGATGGAATCCCGGATCGATGTCTCCGCCCAGCCAAATCAAACCTTTTATCTTTAGGGGTCAGCTGATTGGCTCCAGATTAAAGGCTGAAAGGCTCAAAGGGTTAAAAGGCTGGAAGCACCGATTTCTACAAGTCATTGTCTAAGCCACATACGCATCTAGAACGCATCTACGATTCCGAACAAGCGGGTTATGTGTCGCATTCCAAAGCGGGGCCATTAAAATTGAGTACTTTATCCTCTACCCTTTATTCCTCCACTTAGACTGTTTGTTTACCTTCTCAGAGGCTAAAGTGATACGCAGAGGATTACGAACGTTTTTATGCCAATACGACATTCACATAAATCAAGGCTTAATGAGGGTTTTCATTGTAGAACTGGGAGGTTGGGATATGAGCCACTTTTTGGCTCTGTAAAGATTTATTCCCACCTTTCCTGCTTTTACAGCATCGGTACCAGCTATGAGTGTTTTCTTTTCTTTCTAGTGTTCACTATCAGCCGAGTGCCAATATTTATTGATCCCCTAATTTACTGAGTCATTTGAGAGAAAAAAGAATGAATAACAAACTGATCAACGTCGATCATTGCCTCTGTGGTGGTGTATGTCGGCTATTCGGCTTCGATTCGGGAATGTAGAGGCATTTGAGTGGGTGTTTAGTGTATACAATGACTTGTGAGGTCGAAGTTGTGCCTTGAACAAAGTGGTTCCTCAGGTCATAGCACTAGAGGAGTTAAGAATATTGTTGGTCGGAGATGAATTCGATCCAAGGACCATGCAGGTCATAGCAGCTCCTCTTGCCTACAAGCACAATCTCAGATTTCGAAATCATAAATAGTAGCTGATGGTAAGCTGCAAGAATCGTGTATTGAGGTGGTCCTAGCATACAATACCCCTGCAGGAGCAAGCTGCAGCTTCGGTAGTCGTAGTAGCAGTCAGTACTTTAACAGAACTCCTGTAGTACTCCTACAGTAGCTTTCATCTTTATAGATTTTAAAGAAGGAATTCTCTTCTATTTTTTGTCCATAGTTTCTATTATAGATCCTATTAACGTGGTCCTGTTCAGTGACGGGGCTGGCAGATGAGACAACTTAGCATTTAGTCCTTTTTCTTCAAAAAATTCTTTTCAACTGGAAAATTTCAATTCAATTCTAGTCGTTGTGATAGTCCCTTCATCGTCATAATTGTACCATCCATATTTTGCACGATCTCTGTAACGTAATCCGCATAGCCCTCCGGGATGATTTCCTACGTCTGCAAGTTGAACAATATAGTAGCAAACGCCTAGCTGAGTAGTGGAACTACTTGAGAGAACCATAGCCAGCTTAGCAATTCATCTTCAGTGTTGGAGGCTCATTCAAACACTTCCATTATTTTGTAAATGGACGAACTTCATGGCGTACCCCGAAAAACCCTATTGACATCAGTCGCTATACCCTTGGCCCCTCTGAGCTTGAGCTGTCACATGTCAGTGATGAGCAATTTTCCAAACGGCATTTCAATGACCACCACCACTTTGTTTATTCCAGCGGCGACTGAAGAAAAATTGAATTATCCGGCTGATTTTTCATTCCTTTCCCGACTTGCAGCTTCAGGTCAAACATCGACCTCGTTCATTTCTCATTCATTTCTCTCTCAGTCCTCCTTCTCCTTCCACAATCGCTCTCCGACCCCAATCGATAGGCCATAACAGTTAGATCGGCATCGTATATCATTTTTATATGTATACGCGCGCCGCGGTCGTTGAGGACCGCTCTGCCGCCGCTGCCCCCCCGTGCCCGCCTCCTACAGCAACAAGACCACGCCTACGCTCATTTCAGATGTGCTGCTGACGACGATGATAGAGCGATCAGCATCACGACTCGAATTCCTACGGGCTATTGTCATCTTCGTTGTATGGCTGATGCTCGGCAACGGCAGTACTACTGTAATGGCTGCACCGACAGCTGATCGGGTACTGCTCACTGAAAATGTGGATTTAATCGTTTCCCACGGAAGGCGTACTGAACAACGGCTTTTTGGCTCGTTCTCACCTACCGGACTCAACTACGAAGTTCAAGGCGATATTGTCCAGGTAAATTTGACTAGCACCATCAGTTAACCCTGTCATTTTTCATGCTTCTCGTTGATTTTTTTCTTGAAAGGTTCAAAAATCCTCAGAAATTTTTCTCTTGAAAGCATCGCTGAATAGGCCACTTTTATAAAATTATTATTTGTAGGTACACCCATTTATATCTATATATTTTCTTATACTGGAAGAATTTATTTGTTTAGAAGAAATACTTTGCTTCCAAAAGATACGCTTATCTATTAATACTCACTATAAAAACTTTCTGAAAACCAAATATGAAAGCAGTCCGGCAAAGATGGCTGTTCGCGGGTTTTTAGGCTCGTATAGGCACCCTTCGCCATGCCTAACATTTATAGAAATCATGTACATGGCGTAACAGCCGCTACTCTACACGCTACATGATTGTTCTATATTTTCAATTATGAACCCTCACTATACCCAAATAGTACAAAAATTGATAGGCGCTGAAATTACTATCAGATAGGTGTCCTTTCTAGACCTAAAGAAGTGCTGTTGATGGTAGGAGGTGTCGGAAATCGGGAATGAGCTGTTCGATTCCAAGAAATCGGATAAAAAACGGCTAAGGCTCAAAAGATCAATGGATTCCGTCAAACCAAGGATTTCACGACTACGTTACTCGAATTTACATCCAATTCAATTCCCTATATAGAATGTTTGAGATCTGGATGGAGTGGGCTGAAGTATTATGAAAGGAGTGTGAATTATGGCCAAAGTCTGGGAAGAGATACCAATTCACAACAGTTTCCCCGTGCTTCATTCTTATCCGTTACACTTCCGAATTCCCTTCCCTACATCATGTGTCAGGTCTCCTTCCCATGATAATCCTATTGTTCTCTGGAGAGGAATTCGTGGGAAATAAATAATATTCATAGAATGTATGTTTGTAAATCTCGTCCGAATTGTCTTACGGCGGATTCCAATTATAGTTGCTTTGTGCAGCGACCTTATCCGATGCCATACGGTCATTTACGACCGGCCGTAACCCTTTTTTTTGATTGGCCACAAGGCCCGGTTTAAATTACCGTATCCGGTGGGTCACCTGTCCATCGTTACCAGTCGTTGTGTGACGAAAACGTAATTACACCACTCAAAACACCTGTTTGTGTTGTGACTTATGGCGATAACGAGGCAAGCTAAGGTCATTTCCGGTAGTGAAGGCGGCGGACGACGTTGTGGTCAACCAGTGGATAAGCCTGGGTATTAGAAGCGGGGCCTTCTAGAACTCGTAATCGAATTAACCGGAGTCTGGGAGGTAATTTCGTTATGAAGAGGCTTTTCTATGAGAAGTCCATTATGGGAGCTCAAAGAAATCCTGCTAGAAGATGATTAAGGATGATGTCGTGAAAGGCGATAGGTATCGCTCTCAATATGGGGTCAGCAATACTGGGAAGTAAGATTAGGCCTCGGACGTCGGTGGCGGTTACTTTGCAAAACTTTGAGCCGTTCGCACCAGGTATGCCTAACTGTAGAGTCTTGGCCATCTGGAGCTCAGAGTATACCTTGCCTAGTCCATAAATAGGTGCAGCTCGATGCCTCATGCCCAAACCTCTTCCCGAAGCGGTCACCAAGTGGGCCCAGCTGTAATGATCCCTAGACGAGAATGGGCAGGAATGTTTCTTGCTCTGATGCCTACAGGTTTCAGCCTAAATTTTTCAAGTTGAGGTTTTCCCAGGTTTCCATTTGTCATTTTAGATCGTCGCTTGAAAACTCCACAAAGACCAGTTTGAACGGAATTCCTTCACATACCCATTAGGCCATATATCACCTTGAAGTTGTTGTTTCTTACGGTAGGTCGACTCGAGTCGGGTCCTCATGGCGGCCGCTCCTCCTCTCTACCTTTGTTAGCAGCCATCCGAATTGATCGAAAGCCGATTAATCTTTTAGGAACAGTCTTCATGGGTGGCACGAACGCCAGTTTTTTGCACGAATAGCCAGTCTGCTTGGGTGATTACGGTAACCAGATGTGAATGAACAGCGGCACCATGTGTGTGTGAAGTTTGTCGAAAGTGTTCAACCTTACTGAACTGTGTTGTCTGGGCAGATTGCCCGTCGGGAAGGGAATCGCCTGCCATTCACACTCCCACATTTGTTTTGCTCTGACTAATCAGTACGCCGTCGACAATGCTGGGAGAAATGTCGGCGCTCGGGTTATTCATGCGTCAAGTCGTCCGAGAAGTACGAGAGGACCTTGGTCGCAAATAAGACTTAGAATGTTTTTGTGATTTTGCCGGATTTCAAAGGACAGCGGATTGACCCTTTTTGAATCCGCTCGGCTTTTGACCTCGTTCTTCTTGCGGGCCTAATTCGTTCCAGCTGCATCTGGGGAGCAGCGTCCAAGTGCGGCCTCGAAAAACAATCTTCAGCATTGCTGCCTTAATTTCTTCCCCCGATGACCACGTTGAGGATTGAGGAAGAAGATCTTTTTCGGTGTGTCTCCGTCCTTCTATTCCTTATGTGTGCGATTGCTCTCTGAGGATTACCCACTTGGAGGGCTTCCTGCGTTTCCCCGTTTTACTAAGCTTCTTAGCTGATTATCACGGAATCCGTAGGCTTTTCACTGAAAGTCCGTTTGTTATCCGAGGCTGCTTATGTCGCCGGGTGGTGTCTCTTCGGGTCGAGCGCTGGCGTCTCCTTTCGGCCATGTTTCATCGGCATTCGAGTAAAAGCATTAGGTTGTTGGTCGTTTGTCAATTGGCACAAGCCCCAAGGGGTCATTCAACGCTCGACGCTTCCGAAACACATTCAGACCGAAGAAACCTCTGTCTTCAAAATACTAGCGATCAAAATCTAGCTGATACAGCTTCAGTAAAGGTTAGGTAACAATGACTGGGAAGTTTTGATGGTGGAAATCGGGAGGGAGCGGGCAGATCCCTATTCCTTTGAAGAAACGACTTTGGTTGAGTCGTGGGGCTTCCTTGACGAAATCTCTGCAGCCACTTTCTCTGATTTATTAAGAAAAACCTTGGGAATCGATATACTGGCTTACTGTAGGCAGTTTAAAGGTTCTCAGATACCAGAGGACTGTAACGACATGGCAGCAGAGGCGGTTCAAAGCTGACTAGGTAGGTCTCAAATTTGTCAAAAACTCCCCTATCAGCAGCTCCGCCCCCTAATGGAGTGAAAAAAGAGCCAGACTTATAACCATGACATAATGTGATGGAACCTAAGCTACGGAACCATTAAAAGCTCTATTCAGCCATGTGGGTAATGGGCCATCTATGGGGTAGTACAATGGGTGGGAACTTGTCATTGAAGAACCGCGAAGTCCCACTATCCACGTCAAACCCAACTAGCTCCGTCCTCCGATCAGAGAATGTGTCTTCAAAGGGTAAGAGATAAGATTTTTTGTGTTTTCCGAACCTGATCTGGAATGTTCCCACGCATTCCATTTTCTTTTAACAATCGCTGTAGCCTTTCAATCCGTCTTTGGCCTATAAAGGGAATTTCCGGTGCCCCTTGAAGGATAGGTAAGCTTTTTATTCTCCCGGACAGATCTCTACCAGTTAATCGACCTGTAGTTCCTGAAAACGTATTGTACAGGGCAGTTTCCGAACTAGGAATTAGTTCTTATTGGTTAGACTTTCATGACAGTGACGTCAAACGCCCCTACCTTCCTCCAATCTTTGAAATGGTCTCAGATAGGAGCCCAACTTTCGAGATAATTTTGATATATGTATAATAAGAGTTTCCCTTTCGGATGGTTTGGGCCCTGCTTCCATCGTGTCTCTAGTAGAAGGGATCTCAACGGAACAAATGACATTTTTTTCCGAAATGACAATATTGCAGAAGAAGCAAAAATAAACAATCTCATGCAACACGACCGTAATACCTATACGTTGCTACAGTAATCCTGTAATTTGATATATTCCTTCATACAAACTAAAAATGACTTGGTTGATACGCTTTCGCTGCATAAACAACTATGTGACATGATTTATTCACTCAATTACATCTCCAAAGCAGCCTATGACTGAACCCAACTGAATTAACTCGACAGCTGGGGGAAGGATGCCTCCGTGCCGATATTATTTATACATTACTTATTCTTCCGGAAATAGTAAAGTCACGAGCCTACGACGTTCTCGAACAAGGTGAATGCCAGTCGTGATTCTGGCGAACGGCTTCCATAGGCTGTCTTTTCTTCATCTTTTTCCTATTTCATTTTAATTTTCCTCCTTTCGAAATTGAGTTATTTGTCTTTTCACTCCGTCATTCCTGGGTGATGTGAGGGGGGCATACCCCTTGGGTGCATTTAAATAAATAAATGAACCGATAGATTCATAGTGTCATCAAAAACCTCTGCAGCTCGATTGATAGCGGCGACGTATGCTCTCGAAAAAAGATCAAAAAGCGATTAATGAGGAAGTATAACAAAAAAAAAACTTCGTCCATGATAAATAATGATATCTCGTCTTTGATTTTATTCAGGACCCCATCCCCATGAGAATCACACCCTGTCCCGATTTATCAAGTGAATAAATAAATAAAGTAAGGATGATAAACAAACAGAAAGAAGATAGGGGATTAGAGTAGCTGTAGCTGCAGCTTAAATATGCATCAATGGATCGATTTTTGATTTTCATATTCCCTTCCCCGAGAAATTTTTTCATGGAGGAAATTGAAAACCGGTTTTTCTTCATAAAATGCATGCTCCAAAAATAGATCGTTAGCCAGTTTTTTTCGTTTTTTTCTTTTTTTTNTTTTTTTTGATGTTTTTGCTCTTTTGTTATGAAAGCGGCACTTGGTTGCCAAGGTCTTTTACCGTTTTTAATCTTTTCGTGGACCATATGGTGTACAGATCAGTTTTGAATGGGTCCAGGTTTCCGACTATTGAAAGAGTCAAGTGAGAGAATATAAGGTACTGTAGAAAATGAGCCGGCCCTTCCCAACCCTTGTTATCTGTGAATTGGGCCTATGGTTCATTTGAACATTCAAAATATTCCCCTAATTTCTCAGGCGCGTGGGATTGTATCAAAGCACGTTGTGCTGAAATGTTCTGTAGAGCCCATGCTTGATTGGCTTTTGCTTTTTTATATCATTGAAGAAAGGAACGAGCCATATGGCACGAATAGCTGGGGATGAATAGAACAGTGGGGAGTCAGGGACGGTTCCAGATGAACTACACTTTTTATGAGGGCCTAATCTGCACTCTTCGATATGCTCCGCTAGAATAACAAAAAGTACCGTATTCTAGAAACTTCTAGAAGATTGGGGTCCTAAAGTTTCGAGCAAAACGCGAGCAATTTGAGTCGCAGCATGAATAAACAGGAATCTTCTCAAGCCTTCACAGTAGCCGTGGCAGGAATTCCACATTCGTTCACGTTCGGGACCATGCTTCTGGGATGTTGGATTTTTGCCGGATTTGCCGGAGGTTCCCCATGGAAATAATTTTGAAGCTGCTGGTTTCAATTCCCCACCTGAGGAACACATTTGTGGCTCATATCTTTTGCTCTGGGGACTAGTCTTTCCTAGGATTTAGAGCATCCACAAATTAGTTGTCCCCTCAACCAGTATAGTTGTCTCAAGTCTTTTTCGGAGCTTGTTTACTCTAGTAATTGAAAGGTTTGTTATGAGCCCAAATAGGCTATCGTTTCGTCGAAGGAAACCACAGAGCTATTCGTATAATGGGCGTCTCAAAATTGGATTAAGCGCCGTTTCAATGGCCGCCGACGGCGTTGTGAAGAGAAAACGCCGAAAACCCACTAACACCAGCACATTCAAATTACGCTCATCCGGAGCCTCGGCTCCGACTTCACTACCAGCATCGATAGCTACGAACAAATGAGGGCTATGGGACGGAATCTTGAGATCCCTTAGGGACAAATGGTGGCTCAAAGAGACCACCTGGACCAGTTTGAAAAGTCATAGGGGATACTTCAGGAATACGTTTCCAACATAGTATAATACGCATATAATGTTCAAAATCGTTCTACCAGAGCGAGTTTTACGACTTTCACCTTGAAAGGACTGTAGCCGTCCTTTTTTGAAAAATCTACGCGGATGCCTTTGGAAGATGCCCTTGAGTTCAATGGGATTTCCCCATAAATCGAAGTTACCTTCGTAGAATCGTGCTCTGAAAAGGAACTAACGATATCATGAATCACCCACATTGTAGTATGCGGACCTCGCCCTGCTCCTGGGCTCCAAGTGAATCGTCTCTGCATCACCGCCTTCACTGTACAGAATGAATCAGTACCGGTTATTCAGCCAGCCATTGCTTTTTCTCGACTCTATACGAGAATCGAAAATTTTAAGGCAAAGGGTTCAGATTTCGTAGCAATTCTCGTAAAATTGTCTCTCTATGGGGGCTAGAGTGACTGAGCATTCAGCGGTACTTCGGTACCTCTGAAAGCCATTGAACCCGAACTTCTGTTCTTATAGCCATGCTTTGTTACGAGTGTAACCGATCGTTCTGTCACTTGTCCTTACTCGACCCTGATATCTGGCCAACTATGACAGATCTGTTACAATTCGGATTTAGTTACATCAGACGGTGCCCTTTGTGCCCAGAAGATTAGGAGAAAGCAAACAAAATAACTCCTGGGAGGTTGCAACGGATAGATAGCCCGCAGAAATGGAGGTGACTGATTTATAACCATGGTTTCCTTCAAGTCTTCTTCAAATATCGGCCCTTTCTGATAGAGCGTTCTGATCTGATGGGGAAAGAAAGTGTCCTGACTCGCAATTAAAGCCAAGTTCGAGCCATCTGTAGCCATACACCGGCCACTAAATCGGTTGGAGAGGAGCGAGTGAAAAAAAACCTCTCAGCCCTACCTCGACGTTTCGGTTGAGTTTTCCCATTAACATAAATCAAACTCCAGCTGTGACGTAAGCCACCGGCAGACCGGCTAAATGGGTGAATGACAAAAGCACTTCTGGCCCTGCACTAAGAGTCCGTCCAGAATGCAGTCATCAGGAGAGTCATTTCGGGCAATCGTAATGCAGTCGTCGACGACATATGCAGCCCGGGTCGTTAACGTTTCGCCGTGGCGATTTATAGGCGATCGTTCGAATCGCGTAGCGATCGTTAACGACACGACACACCAGCACACCTGTGGCGCTGCTGACTCGTATTCCTGCTTTATCAACCATGTCATTTATCCCAAGGTATATGGGGATCGACATCCACCACCCATCTTCTTTTTCATTTCTTTCCGCCCGGATCCATAAAAAGTAATCATTCTTAGGACAAAGGTACTATATTTCTCGAGATCCTACCGGGGCCGACGTAAATCCTCGTCGTTGGCGCCTAATCCGTTGCGCCCTGCGCAGGGCTGTATAACAAACCCGTCGAACATTCGGATTTGCCGACGCCCTGGGTCTCGCCGTTCGATACAATGTTTCCACTAACGCGGTGTCTTTCAAGTTTTACGACCTCAAGGGTCATCGCGGTTCTGTTTTGTACACACGACGAATCTCGTCTGCCGCCAATACTCTTGTGTGATTACGACATGGCCTCACTCGGACACCTCGTGAGACGTGGGGGTTAGCACTTTCTTGGGAACCAACCTATCGAGCACGAGAAAGCAGATTATGTAGTAGGGACGGAAGTCTCGCCCTTGATCTGTTTTGAGAGCAATCATGAGTACGGAGGGAACAGTAGTGGGAGAGGGAAGGAAAAAGTTTGGGTAATGATCGTTGTCGTCATGAAATCCGTCCGTATTTCTCTAAGAAATAAAACTACGTTGCCAGTTCATTTGCCTATGCCATAATCAGCTTTCCCTGAAGCCTAGGCATGAGTCACCTCATTTTTTTAAAGAATAGGTATAGCTGAATCATAATGTGGAACAGAACCAATACTCATGCTTCTTGGAGGAAACTTCAGCCAGAAAAGCGTGACCTGATTGCTACTGGATTACTGAATACTCATCCACCGTACAGGACCCAAGCAGAGTGACCCATAACGTTCACAGTCTCTCCACACGAATGTTTAGCTCTGACCGGTACTGGGAAGGTGGCCAAGCCTGTTGAGGTAGTCGTGGCCCCACACCTAGGGCCATGGCTTATCCTCAAGACATTTTGAAGATTAGGGCTTTCTCTCAAGAAAGTTGCGTGATCTGAATCTGAAAGCGCCGTCACAGATGAGCCATCAGTTGCCCACGCGTTTCACAGCCTGGTTGGGTGCTGATGTTCCTTTCTAAATGTAAATTCCGAATATTTTCTATTTTTTCACTTTGAATAGTGAGCTTCGTTAATAACCGTTCATAGCAACTCGATTTCACGAGATCACTCATTTACTTGCCGAGGCAGTAAGAGATTTATCTACCTGTCAGAGCCATTGCTAGTCGCGTTTCTTAATTCATGAGTTCCCTCCATAATAGATCCTTTACGGCTACAGTATGATGAATGATGAGGAAACAAATTTCCGTTGAGGAAATGCCTCGGGTAAATTGACTTCAGTACTGGGGGGGCAAGCCACTATGGCTTTGTCTAGCTCAGTCCGGCCGGTTGCCTGGCTATAGTTCACTTGGTTTATGGGTGCCAATAAAAGTGTATGGTGTGAGCGCGCAGCCGGCCACGATGGCCACAACGCCAACGGGCGCTGAAGACGCCACGTCGGCGACTTCAAATCGTCGCCGCTCCGATGAATGTCCGTTATTTATGGCGTTTGCGAGAAAGGCCATTTCTACATTTCCGAAACGGTCGCGGCCGTCGCTCTGCCAGTCAAAGCCAGCCATCTAAGGAGGAAATTACGCACGGGACCGGACAGACCATCTTTAGTATTCATAAATGGCTTCGATCTGGCATGGGTCATTCGTTGGGCGACCTCAACACACAAATCATCAATTCTAGGGATAAAAGTGAAGGGAATGGTTTGAGATGGCATCATATTCTGGGTTCAAAGATGAGATTTGAGTAATAAAATAAAGAGATAAGCTCTGCCTAAGTCTTTCTAAGTCTTTCTTCTGTCTAAGGTTTCTCAATACGGCAGCGTAAGAGTTTTTGATTTCAGAGCAAAGGTGGGGAGTAATGAAATAATCTGGGAGAACGGATTAGAGAGCAAAGCTGAGCTGTGCTCACCTTGAGAACTCGATACAGCTGGTTGTTGTTGTGTTTTTATGCTTCCGCCAGGTCGTTAAGTGGAATATTTATTCTCGGCCAATCTTCCACCTTCTCGTCATAATATCGCTTCCATCTGACAACTTCTAGACCGAAGTACGAAAACACAACAACGATGAGCCTATTCTAGGATATCAAGATGCATTGATTAGATTGAAAATAAAACATGAGAACAAAATAAAGTGGAAGCGATATTGGGAGCTTATTCAGGGTTGGTTGAGCAATCCTTCTATGGAGTTGACTAAGTAAGGCACTTTCTCCTCAAAACTTCATGCCGATGAAGTGCCTGTTGTGACCAGCAGACTCCTTTTTTTTCGATTTCGGTATATACCTGTGTATGTTTATGTACATACATATGTCTAGGTATGTGATAGCGCGTCATTTTGGCGCAGAAATAAATGAATGAATAAATAGTTTTTTTTCTTCCAAGAGATCTCAAGTCATCGTTATCGCATCGTTCGAAAAATTATGAAACTTACTAAGTTTTTCTTTTCCAGTTCTGAAAACCGATTTTTTCTACATTTACTCTTTGATAATGATATCTCTCCTCCAGGTGTCGTCATTCCGGGCATGCGATGCTCGCCGAAAAGGTCTTGATCGGACGCTATTCGGACATGTAGCGGTTGTATTTGTTGACGAAGTGCAACCTTTTCTTACCGGTTGTGTCGCTTTGGACAATCAGGTTCGGGTTTTTTCAATTTCTTTCAAAGTTCACTGTTAATAATTAACAATCGCCAGTTCAATGCTGGCTATCTACAAGCTTTTTCTCTCAATGTACTTACGAAATAGTGTTCACAGCGAGTGTGTAAGCGAAACCAAAACAGTCGGCCCTATTTATCTGGTTAGCTGTAATAAATACATAAAAATATATTCCCTTATGTCACTTCCTTATGCCTCCATCACATTACTAACGTCATAGTCTGACGTCCAGAATAGCTCAAGATCCTGACTCAGTACGTCCCCTATGGAGTTAATTGGGATGCCGAACGTAGCAGATCAGCAAGGCGTGGACTAAGCCTTCTAGTGTTTTTCCGGTCGGTGGTCCACCTCCAATAAGAGGGAATCGTCATGGAGTTTTTACTCAAATTCATGAGCCTTTTTGAAAAGTCAACTCTCTTTCGACCCTCCATCCTTCTTGTTGCCATTCTGGTGAACATGCGGTAATCGACCATATACATATGTTCACTCCAGTAGCACTCCCAGATTAGTTTCTTTTTTGTTGTAACATTACTCATTTGTTAGAAGGGTTGATGGAATGTTTCTCGTATGTCCTACTGATCGGTGCGATGCAGGCGACATCGCCGAAGTATAACCGCCTGGCGTGAGGTTGGACTAGGCCCAAGTTAACCTAAGTTTTGAAACATTACTATATGCTGTGTAATTACCTTTTACTGTCCTCGTCTAACACTTCAAAAAGTAGTAAGAGGTGATTATTAGGAGGAGTATGATTTAGGAGGAGTATGAGGAGGGTGATTCGGAGGTGGGGGTGACACTGAATGACTGGTAATTAAAAATGAACAATCTCTGTAACAACTATCAAAAGTTCCAGAGAGGGCAACCTGGGTGTAGCCCTCTGAAATTTTTGGTGAACGTTCACCAAATTCAAATAAATTTCTCTCTATTTCTTCATTGACGTTGGAATTTGCTCGAGTTGGCTTTCCCTACGAGGTGCCGTTCAATCGATACCAATCTCCGACATGAGGTTCTGATTTCGCTCCCAAAGAGCATTCCCAGGGGTAAAAAAATTCACGATCAGATCTCTCTGGCTGACAAGGAGTCGTAGCCGTTGATTACAGCAGTCGTCAAGATTCTGAGGGTACGGAGGAAATTCTGTAGTAGGCAAACCTCCCTCCGTCGATCTCTGTACGTTCCGGCTTTCTGCTGCCTCTTCCCTCTCTTTCTCTCTTCCTCATCCGCTCTTTTTCTTTCTCAATCGCTCCGCTATCTTTATAGCAATCGCGCCCTCATAATGGTCAGTCATTCACTTTTATGGTATGGGAACGAGTCAGTCGTCGATAAAAACAGAAATTACCCCGTTGAATACCCCATCGCCCCGCAATCACGCCAAGCGATTGATATTTGACGAAAATCTCGGGGTTTCTGAGGTCTTAATGTGAGCGATATGCAGAGTTTTGTGTTTCGCTTCAGGCTCGATTTGCTGAAAAATCTGGAGCGTTGGCCCTGGTTGTGGGCCCGGCATCACGGATCCAACGTAATCGTAAGCCGATGAAGGTTTGTTGGTCACTTGACCCATATGGGTTACCACATTAGGGTTAGTTGTTCTAGGTTCGTGCGTCGAAGATTCCAGTGGTCGTTCTCGACGATCAGGAGACCCAAAGGCTTCGCCAACAGCTGGCCGAGGCTGGTCAAGGTGCAGCTGTAGCTCACCTGCGGCTCGACTTCATCGAACCGAAACCACCTCACGTATTGAAATTGCAGGTACATGGCGTATTCCTTTGTGATCGATTTTCTGATTAGGGTACTGAGATCAAGCTGCAGCAAGGTTTATGAAAACTGTGTGGATAAGAAGTAATCTCAAGTCTCGAAGGGTATTACTGTAGTACGATTCTCAAGTATAACTTCATTCTGCCCGTTGTACTTTAGTTGGCTTCATAAGGCTTGAGTCAAGGAACGCATTGTAAGTCTACAGTATGGCTCTTTCAGGTCTTCCGTCCGAGCTTGTTGAATCTGTCGTTGATTGGTTTACTGATAGTTCTGGTTCTGTTCATCACACTGCTCGTATTCGTGAAGATCCGTTGGCGGCCTACGGCTCACAGAGATCTCTGGCTACGAACATTAGCTCGAGCTGCAGTGGGTAAAATGGAAATTCGAAAATTCCAAAAGGTACGTGCACAGTCGAACCGTTCCGTTACAGTGTGCCTTTCCTGTCATTATTATCTTGTGTGAGGGATTAAAATAGAAAGGAGTTTAGGAGTCATCGCGGCAACGACGGCGACCATTTGCTCGATTGCGACGGGTTCGCTCCACATATCTACCGGTGTTCGGCTCCTTGACGTCCGTGGCCAATACGGCTAGTTCTCAGGTATATAGCATTTGTTCTCCTGTTACTGAATGGGGGAGGTGGTATGCCACTTCCTTAGGTTTGTTCCTGAAGAGTCGAAAATGAAAATAAGTCAAGTTGCGCGCCATCACATCCATGGTCTGGGAATGGAATCCCAGGTTGATACCAGCGCAGGCCAGTCATGCCTTCCATCACAATGAAGTCCGTGTATTGGTACCACTCTCGTCTGGGAGGATGAATGCACTGTTTTGTACATCGGCTGGAAATCACCAGTCATTGTATAGGTTGTGTACATATTCAGAACACCACTAAGATTTTGAAGGGAAGTTAAGGCGGGGTCCGCCAGGACGCTTCCCAAAGTGAGGTTGATCAATGCCAGAAGGTGTGGGACTTATTCACTTGCACATAACTGAACATAAGGTCATAGCCCAAGTTCTGTTGACAGCGAAATTGCTTGGATGTAAATTAAGAGCTGTGGGGTGTGACGTCCTATAGGTCCTTCTGAGCTGAGAGAGCTAGAAAAAAACGGCTAATTAGTGCATACTTTACTGGTACCCAAGTCGGAAGGTAGGATACCTTAAGCCTAATTTTCAAAAAGCGTAGATTAAATGATATTCATGCCATCCTGCTTTTGTGCCATTTCCAATTCGGGTCTATGCAGATAGTACGCGATACTTATCACCGATACAATGGCACTACCCCTATTGTACAAAAGAGCGGCTAAGACGGCCATAGATGATAAGTCATACTCAATAGAGTTGGGCAAAAACGAGCTCCTTGAGTGGATAATTGAGAGTGGACTTGACAGACTTGTAGCTACACCCATTCACCAGACAGCTCCTCCACTATTCGCGTACGTAGTTATAGACACATACGTACATGCTAGTCCCAAACCGAATGGATTTGGGTTTGAGAGGCAATAGTACGACCGCTATGCACTTCAAATTTTGGAAACCGTGAAGTTTTAGAGTTAGTTTTAACCATCATGTCGTTTCAGGAGCGCTGTTCGATCTGTCTCGACGAATACGCTGAAGGAACAGAGCTTCGGGTGTTATTCTGTGGCCACGAGTTCCATCCAAAATGTGTCGATCCATGGTTGTTGTCGAATCGACGCTGTCCACTCTGTCAGTTTGACGTCGTCTACAAACAATATCCGAAAATGGAGCCACTGACCAAGAATCGACAGTGAGTTTCTAGCCACTCTTCGTTGTCTATGCCCTTTCGTGAACTCTCTTTTTAGAACCTCACCATCGACTGAGAATTCGCCCCTGGAGCCGTTGTTATTAACCGTACAGGAGTCACCTCGAGCTATAAGGGATCCCGTCTCCGCTGAACATCCACATTCCTCACAAGACCCACTTCAAGTAGTTCGTGATACGGCAACGGGTCGTGGCCGTCGTGTTACTTCTCGGGCTCGATCATTACCTCGACGGAGGCCACTGAGACCACGAGAACATGTGGAGACGGCTGTCAGACTAGGAGGGTGAGTGAATGACCCTTCGATATCTGTGAAATGTAGTGAGAATGGGTTCCCAGATGTTCCTCCAATTCTCATTCGGGATACTTTCAGGTATTCTTCTGACGTGTCTTCGCGCTGATCATCGTCCACTGCCCACAGAACTATCATTCACCTCCCCGTCTTCATGTGGGGGAAATCTGCCCAATCGTTCATCCAAACTCACTTCCGGTTCTACTGATCAGTATTTCACAACGGGTTGCAGCACCTCTCCGATTAACTGGGTAGCTCTTTCGTCTGTCTGTCTGTCCATCCTTCCACTTCCATTGTCAGTGCTGCTCAAGCTGATCAGGCGCGTCATCAGACACGCTTCTCAGCAATCGTACGGTTCCATAGGAATATGTCTATTTATTATATGTTTTTATTTTTCATGTAATGCTCATTCTAGTCCACTTTAGTACAGCCAATCACAGTTATTCGACAACTGTAGAATTTAGCCAATCGTAGATCGATACCCCGTGTTTCTTTTGAGATCCATCAAGGGTAGAAGGTCGTGCTGAGCAGTTGGACTGTCCCGCCCGCTCAGACTCCTTACTAAAGCTCCTATTCGCCTTAAACGGTAGAGGAAGACGCTTCAGTGGAGTATGAGCACTATCAAAGAGACAACTACTGCCCAGCCGGATTTCTGCCTCAAACAGTAGTACAAAACACGGTTCTGTTTCTTCAGTTCAAATCCATTTGTATAAAATTCTTCATCGTTGGGTATGGTATCCGGCACGATTTTTGTGTATTCTGTACATATACATAATTTACAGTATTACATTAATAAAATGCAACATTCACTCGTTGATTTATTGATCAAATATGCGTGGCTACATACGGTCATGTGGTTTTATACAATCCCAATACGTAGTTATGACTGATATTTAAGGAATGTAATTAGAAATTTGATCATTACGAGGAATAAGTGTATGATGCGACACAACCTCGCAAACCAATCGAGAAATCATTCATTGCCTGTTGTCAAAATCTGAAAGAGGATAAGGGTTTCCATCAAATAGATGCGGCGCAGTGAGTGAAGGCGCTATTACAGTTACTCGGGTCCCTAGATCGAAATAGATTGACTTCCTGATTCTACTTGAAACTTACTACTACTACTACTACTACTACTACTACAAAGGAAGGGCTATGTACTACATACTTTGATGAGTCAAAAGCTTGGGGATTACGCTCTTATTCATTAATAACTCCTGGCTCATTGGTGACCGAAAAGTGTCTGAAAGTGGCTATGAGACTATATACCAAATTTATTTGAACCTAAAATTTTTCCGAATATAAAATCTTTTTGAAGGCATGAATGCGAAGCGCCCACAAGTACAACTTCGCAGTGGTCCTAGTCGCTCAGTAATCGCAATCTTAAAGCAGGATCGTTGGAAAGGGATGAAGCATAGGCTGATACAGAACAATCTGGCGTTGACAGTGCAAATCAACAACGAGATATTTCACTAGAGGAAAATCTTAGAAAATAATAGTGGAGATAAGTTCACTTAGGTATGGATTCGAATCGTAGGCTCTCTGAGCGACAGAACACTATTGCTGTAGACACAGGTCACCCAGTCAGGTTTCTGCCAAGAAGCCAGTTGTCCATTTGAAGTCTGAGGTGTTCCAGTGTCACTCAATCTCGTTGCTAGAATGCGCCCCACGTTTTTTACCATTAAACCATAATCGTAGTGACGTTTCGATACCTATATGGCCTCTAGGCACTTGTGATGGTCAACCGAGCAACAACTCATTGCTCTCATCCTTCCAGGCTAGTGTGGCACGAGCTAACTGACCGCAAAGGTTTGGAGGGCTTGATTATTGAGGGTATCCACCTATAAGAATCCCCCAGCTTGCAGAGAAATCCAGACGGTTACAAGTAAAATCTATGGATGTAATAAGTCCGCGTCTTGTGTGTGTCGTAGAAGTGCTGCTACGGGAGACTTCTTCTCATATTTATTGCACTGACGACAGGACAGAAAGGGAGGAGACGAATGCACTGAATAATAGAATCCTAGTTAACTGCATCACTCTTTTATACTGCAGTGATACAAGAGACATAACAACCAGCCGAATCATTTTAAACAATCCTATTTAACAAACAACTCCAAATAATTTTTGATAACATGCATTCTGGAATGGTTATAGAGGATTCTCTATAATGGAGCGAAATCTGCTTAGTTCTTTATATTTTTTATCAGAGTACTTTGACTTAATTCAATGCGAAACAAATATTTTAATAGCCATACTGTTCAGATAAACAGTCTATAGACCTGTTCCAGCAAGCCACCCTATGTTATCGCTTCAGGCTGATGAAGTAATGTAACAGTCCCGTCGAAACATTATTCATTGGAGTTCAACAGATTAAGTAAATTGTATCGCGGTTAATAAAGGAAAATATACTATGTGAATGAGTGGAAAATAGAGTTTAAGTATCTATTGGAAGTATCTAACTTCATTAGATCGGCAAGTCCTTCCTTTCTTGAGTTATTCGGAAACTCTTGAACGATAGAAGCGATCATGTAAGGCTTGTCTTCGCTCAATTCCCAACAGCTCAGCAGGTCATCGTATCGACTGGAGCTTATCTTGTCTTTCCAACTGTGGAGCGCATTTATGTAAGCTACTCATTGGGCAGAAAATTTTCATGGTTCCATTCATATAGTCCTGGGTGTAGGAAGTCTGAAAAGTTCAGGAAGTTAGGCGATTTTCATAGAAGCTGACAAAGAGTGCTGATATCATACACGGGCTTGACCTCTCCTCGGGTCGATCGGGCAGACCACCAGGGCAGTTGGAAGCAATTACGCTGGCAGTTAGCTTGCTCACCCCCCATTCTCCATCCCTTATTGGTTTCTGATTGTTTTCTTTTGTTAGATTTTATGTGTAGCCTCATTAGAGCCTATAATGGATTTGTTATTTAGCCCCTCAACAGCAACGTCTGGAATGATTGTTACAATCGATATTTAAATAATAAGCAATACCAAAGCAAAGCGTTCAGTGATTTTTAGTCAGTTTTTGAAATTTTATCTTCTCCCAAAAATTATCCCGACTGTAGCCGAACAATACGCTCTCTCTTGCCTAAGAACTTCCATCAAGACAAGGATGTTCCTTGACAATGCCAGAGTTTGAAGAATTTGAAGAATGCAATAGTTTTCACGACTATAAAATTATGTAAACCCCTTTTTTGTTCGTTTTCTCCACAGTCATGCTGAAATTAATTATCCCTCACAGTACAACGGTGGGCACGCCATACACTGATTCATTCACCGTTACGACTCTGTAGGAGTCAGAAGATTAGATTTGCTTCGTGACGTTTTTGTGGAACTAAATACAGCGTTTACACTTGTGAGCTACTATTATGACCCAAAACCGTCTGCAAGGAGCATATATAGAGTCTCCGGAAGATATGGTTGAACCAGAACTTTTTCTTCAAATGCGTAATTTTTCTCAAGAACGCGTGTGTTGTGTAGCACCTTTGATCCTTACTCCACTGAAATCTTACGGCTCATCTAATTGATATCGCCAAACTTGATGGACTTCGTATCATCTTTGCCATCAATCTGACTGTCTCTTAGCGTACATTGGTCAAACGTGAACGTTTTTTTGGGTTTTTTGGATTGGGTTTTTTCTAGAAGTCAGTGCCTTAAGACCGTTGCAAAAAAAAGAAATCCAAGAGTCCCATGAAGTTGTGTGTGCCAAAAATGTGTGCACCAAATTCTGGAATCTGATATGCTATCTTAAAGGCTCAGTTCACAATATAAATGGTTTCTGAGTTCTCCCCCTAGGAATAGCCAGGGCTCAAGGGCAATGGGAAGGACGCTGTCGAGTCCCATAACACAACAGCTAGGGCATAGTGGAAGCCCCGTTACCGGATTGCCCGGACTTCCCCGAACGATGTCACGTCAGACGAGTGTCGAGGCGATAAAGATTGCAATATTCGCTCTAGGACCCACACACAATCAACCGTGTGATGAGCAATGTTTCTCTCCCATTCTTTTTTCTCTGTTATTCTTTTTGCAGCTGTGATCCTTCTAATCTTCTATCCCAATGGGCTGAGAAAGGGGGGCTAATTTTGCAGTTACTAGGGTTTTTTGTTATTTTATGTATGTATGTATGTTTATTACACGCGGTAAACACGTGCGTATAAAAAATTATAGATCAAGAACCCAACAAAAACAGAATACTGCATAGACAGCATAAATCAATTATAACAAACACAAAAAAAACCAAGTAGTATGCTGGGAGCAACGCAGTTTATGTGAATGAGCTTTGCTTACCGTCTATTCACACTCAGCTATTCACACTATTTTCCATCTTATCCTCCATTTTTCGTCATAATCTGGATTTTTTGTCATAATCGTGAGCTGTGGCTCCAAGAGTCAATCTGTCAGCTCGGCTGAAGGCACGCTACCACATTTATCTTAAAATGCCGTCTGTCTACACTTTGGCACAGCCCTGCTTTGAAAGGTCATAACAAGATCAGCCGAAAATTCAATTGTTTGGAATTAGTGAAGGTGGAAAGAAAGAAGTAAAAATGCTAGTCAGAAGAGGTATCAGTAAATAGGCCGAGTAGCTGTAAAGATTGTTCCTAGTGTAGGCACATCTTTCCGAGCTTTAAAGAGGGAGGGGGTTTAGACTTTGAGAGACCAAAGTTACCCGAAAGTTATGGGCCAGCCAAATTTTCTCTTGCATCAGATTGTTCACTTCGGCCGATGACTAGCGAGGTACGGTGCAAAGGATTATTACATCGTGAGTAGTAACACATGATTACGAGTCTTGTATGCAAATGAATATGGGCTGAAATGGGCGGTGCATAGATACCATTATCGCCAATAGACTGTATTAGGCTACAATTAAGCAACGGGATAAAAGAGCACACACCTGAATAGCATACTTGGTTGCGCACCTAAAATACCGATTGTTATGCCTTCAGTATTGTCGTAAGACAGTCATGTACATATTAGGTTGTTCGGAAAGGAATGCGCGTTTGTGTTCAAAAAATTTTATATTATATAAACGAAACTAAACAAGATCAATTCAAGAGATATTCTCCATTACTATCAATGACTTGTTGCCTACGCGTACGCAAAGAATGGATTCTTCTCCTGCAGAACTCGGCCGGCTGCGACTCAAAGTAGTTAGACACCCTGAGTTGAACTTTTTTGCGGTTTTTGAATTTCCTCTCGGCCAAGGAGTGCTGCATTGACCGAAACAGATGGTCATCGGATGGAGTCAGGTCTGGGCTGTGAGGCGGATGAGGCAGGAATTCCCAACCCCTATTCCTCAATTTTTTTCCAAGGTGGTTTTCGCAACATGTGGACGAGCGTTGTCAAGGAGGAATTTTGTCGACGTCGTTTCGACACCTTGACGGCGCAGTGCTTGATCTGCGCGGTTCAGTTGGTCTTCGTAAATGTCCGCCGTAACCGTTTGATCCGAATTCAGGACTTCAAACTACCCTCAACCTTTGCTGTTCCACCAAACACAGAGCATTACCTTTCTGCCGTGTATATCCGGTTTCGGAGTGGGTTTTGAAGTGTCACGGGCGTCTAACCACTGTCTTTTTCGTGTTGTGTTGTCAAAGCTGATCCATTTCCCATCTTATGTAATAATAGAGTTGAAAAAACCGCTGTTCTTGGAGCGATGAAGAAGAATTTCGGCCATCGCCACTTGTGTTGCCTGGTTTGCGTCGCTCACCTGGAGCGGTACCCATTTTCTACACGTTCNAATTCAGGACTTCAAACTACCCTCAACCTTTGCTGTTCCACCAAACACAGAGCATTACCTTTCTGCCGTGTATATCCGGTTTCGGAGTGGGTTTTGAAGTGTTACGGGCGTCTAACCACTGTCTTTTTCGTGTTGTGTTGTCAAAGCTGATCCATTTCCCATCTTATGTAATAATAGAGTTGAAAAAACCGCTGTTCTTGGAGCGATGAAGAAGAATTTCGGCCATCGCCACTTGTGTTGCCTGGTTTGCGTCGCTCAGCTGGTGCGGTACCCATTTTCTACACCTGTTCGCCTTGCCAATTGCCTGCAAATGCTCATGGATGGTAGAGTTTGAGCAGCCAACATGTGTTGCCAGTTCTCGAGTGGTTTGGTGTGGATCCAAATTAATGACGGACTTCAACACTTGGTTATCGACGAATTGCGGCCGACTTCCATGTTCTTCGTCCCCCAAGCTTTCATTACCGATTTTGAAACGCTGATGCCATCGTCGACACTGGCCTTCTGACAGAACTTCTTCGCCGTATACTTTAGATTTGACATGATGAGATTCAGTAGCTGGTTTTCCTTGCTTTAAGTTGTACCACATGCAAGCCCGCAAAAGGAATTTTTGGTCAAGCACCTTCTAAGCTTTTTTTTCTCAGAAAAAACAGAGTAGACATAGCCAAAAATATATCAAAAGATGCGCAATGAAAATCTCTTTCTAATAGACAAAGCTGTTTAGAAAAGTCTTCTATAGTGGCGGAGAAATGAATGGACAAAATCAACGCGCATTCCTTTCCGAGCAACCTAATAGTATGATTACATTGGCTCTATAAAGACTAGTTTTGAGCTTACAGCACTTGAGCCGCGCCAAATTAGCGGTAGCTACCGTGGGCTATGTTGCATACATACACGCACGCACGTAAGTAATGATGTAACAGTTATTTCAAACAGCATAATACGATTGCATTTAGTTTATGATATCTGAGTACAGGACGGAGGTGGTAGTGGCAGGCGGCGCACTATCTCACATGCACGGTCAGGGGTTCGAATTCCGGATCGATATCCGTCTAGGCCAACCAAGCCTTTCATCCCTTCTGGGTCGGTGGATTGGTACTAGAATGGGAGGATTAAAGCTTTGGTTTGTACATTGGCTGTCCACCGCAAGTATAGGCCACATACGCACTCATTACGCCACTACGATTCCGAATGGAAGTCGAGTGCGGGGCGTATCCCTCAGGCGGGATTGATCAACGCGAAAAACTTTATCCTTTATCCTTTATATTGGAGCCTAGAAGGAGGCTGATACTCACCACTTGGCAGGTATTTAATGGTAACTGTTTCCACACACAACTCATTCACCTGCCTTTATCAATTCAGTATCATCCTCTTCTGTCGCCTCTCTCCGTGTTTGATTGAGCTAAACGCCTTCAAAATCAATCCAATGCTTAGCTCATGTCCAACGACTCTCTTGTCAACAACCAAAAATCCCTACGTTCTGGAAGCCTATCGGCTTCAAATACGATGTTTGGCGTTGCCAATATCGAAATGAAAGCTAATTAAGAGAAATTCATCAGTAGCTCAACTTCGGGGCATAGGTATTGGGAAATGTTTCTTGACCTTTGCCTGACCAATCCGTGTTTGGTTACTTTCACTCTTCTGGAAAACTCTGATAAACATTTCATCAACTCAGCAGAAATTGAAAACGTAAAACTCGTTCACGGTAGGGCGGAAGTTTCGATCTTGTTGTAAGTAATAAAAGAGACATGCCATGCCATAGATGTAATTCAATTCTAAGTTCGACCGATAGAGAACAGCACAGTCGAGTAAGCTTCTCCAATTGGAAAGTGAAGTGCAACCCTTTGGGTATATGGAAAGAGCTTTGCCTATACTAGCTAGGACATTAACCCATTGGCGACCATGCAGTCCACATGTGGGCTGCAGTTGTATTTTTTGCTTTATTCATCTAAATTTCCACTTTCTTTCAGTTCTTCTTCTCAAAACATTACATCAGGTTTAAATGAAACTACATACAGCGTGGTCTTAGAAAATCTTCCAATTTTGCAATTGTAGGGGTGTTTCTCCGAAGAAGTACATTACCTTGGTGAATTTTTCGTTCGTTGAACAACTTCAAAAAATGAGATATTATGAGAAGACGGTCGTCATTGACACTTCCAAATGCAAAGCTCGTGGAAATTCCTCGAAACGATTTCTGGTAATGATTAACCCATTGGCGACTGCACCTTTTTCATTGTCCTTACATTAACTTTTAATTTCTCTTATAACTGTAGTTGGAAGTGATTGATTCTCGGACCACGATGCCTCTAGATTCTCTAGAAGGCTGTGAGCTCAGCTGGTACTTGAAAACATGAAAAAATTATAAGAACACTTGATAAATAATATAAATACTACAGGAGCACGATGTGGTGTGGCCCGCGGCGAGCCACGCGGTCGTCAATGGGTTAAAGATATTACTAATTGTAGGAACGAAGCGTGTGCCATAGTTAGAGCAACTGTGTATTGGGTGTCTTCCTTTAGAGGTGCACAGCTACAAATCTTGATATTCCTTTGATGTGGGTGCATTGCAGCTTACTTACATCACTCATTCATCGCCGTAACCGATACCATCCACCTAAGACACCACGTGCACACACACATTTTCTCTGAATCCAACTTCCATCGAACATAGGACTACCGATGGACTACGCCAGGAACTTGTGGAGGGGTCGGTAGAGCCTAAAGTATTGGGATGGTTTTCCAGAGAGGACTTCCCCTCGATGATCACTGAACTCCAAACAATAAACAATTTATAAGTGAGATCACATTAATAATGATATAAAAATTAAGTCCTGTCAATTTCACTAAGGAATGGCATACATTAAAACAACACGGGTGGCAAGAAATGATCGTATAATCATGCTAAATATCCTCATACAATAACAATATGAATAGAAAAAAAAGTAACACCTCTGTACATGAGCTCAAAAAGCATTCCCACGAGTGAAATGAAAACCAATCATTAAGGAAACAGGTACGAAAAGAAACCATCTGAGTTACGGTATATGTCAACAGGTAAAACAAAACTTTGAGAGCAAGTATGTTAAAGAATGCGAACCCTGAAGCATGGAAAAAGCACATGAAATACTTCTTCAAAACAAAACAGTTATAACAATAAACAATTAAATAACCTTAATTAGAACATACTGATGGTTTAAAATTAATGAAATGAAAGCTCTCTAGACGCTAAATCTCTGCCGTACCGGGTTGTAACTGCCTAGTTTACATAGACTACTAGTTGGATGATTAGCATACAACGCTTGTCTACGGATTAATTTTATGGATTAGAAAAATGAGCTCCTAAATCAGCGCTATTCTACAAAAATCTTTTACCTTGCAGGAGCTGGATCAAGTTCAAAGCTATTCAAAGTAACTCGACTCTATCACCCAGTCTGGAAAGCATTGCTGGCCACGTTCACGAAGTTCCGTTTCGAATTGTGATAATAGGCAAAGTACCTGGAATAAAGAATCATTCTGAACTCTTGAACCGCGAATCCTCTGTTTTTTGGGGCAATAGATGAGGCTAGCGGGCCTACACAATTATGTAATATGGAACCGGTCAGAGTTAACATGATGACTATGTCGAACCGTCCCCATTGACCATGAGGATTAAAGAATTTCATGGCTTGTGGGGAACTGGCGCTTAAAGGCACAGTTCACGATAAAAATGGCTCTTAAGATTTCCCCATTGGATGAATTCGAGGTTCCCTCGTATACCATACCTGGCGACTGAAAAACGGTCTAGATAAGTCGTTATAAAGGGTGAAGGATTGACCCATGTGTATCTTCGAACGAGTTTACCGGCGCTGTAGAGGCTGCACCAAGAGAGGGTCATGTAGGAAGTTCAAACAACTCGTCATGACCCATAGTAAACTGAAAGGCAATCCCTTACAGTTTTGGCTTTATGTAGTCAGCTCTTTGCGCAATTTGAACAACTGAAGTCTCGTCTAAATCAACCTTCCATGTCGTTTCCGCCAAAGTATTCTCATCCAACCTCTGTTTCCCTACTTTTGAGGACCCTCATCTGAATGAAAAGGGTACCTCAAAATTATCGTGAGCTCTGCATTTAAGGAACGATCAAAAGCGATAGATCACTTCAGACATCTACAGTCCTTCAGCCCAACCTAATAACTTTTCCTTATCATTTTCAACAATTTCATTCACATTAAATTTGCAGAGAAGACTGACTTACCTTGGTATTTGCTCGCTTCGCATGAGTCAGCTTTATATGATTTGCCACAGCCGACTCGTCAAAATTGTGCGTGAACTGGCATGCAGAGCACCTTAAAAAAGTAGAAGTAGTCAGAAGAAGCAGTCAAAAGTCAAAAGTAAAAAGTAATCGTTTTTGTAACCGCACACAGGACGCTACACCTACACATGGATACACTGTATGGATGTCCATCAATCCCTTGGTAAACCTCCAGCGCATTTCAAATAAGTCAGAGCAAAGTCAAGAGAAAACCATGGATTCGTCATTTATTCTCGTAATCGATAACCTACCCATATGATGGCATGCTCATGTGCCTTTCTAAAGTGTGCGTCAGGCGTCGTTTACGGCTTATCGTTGACAAACACAATCGGCATTTCGTTCGTCGTCCATCATCTTGAAAACCAACTTTTGAACAAGCTCCACAGTGATAAAGTGATAAAATTCTGATGTTTCTAGCTAATTTGCGGCATCTATTACAAACTTTCCTCGAAATTGTGGAAGGCACTAGTTGAGTGCAGATGAGGAGCACACTGACAGCTGGGTGTTAGCTATTATCAGATCCTACTAGTACCTTTTTGTAATCAGTGATCTCTCACTTTCAAAGCTTCCGTTTAAAGAGGCCACGAAAAGAAGGCCATTTAAATCCCTCCAAGGTCTTGTATCGTTTAAGTTCAACAAAAACGAGGGGATGCGAAAATGCTGGCACTTACTCCTTTCGCTTCAGCACGAAGTGACTTGGCGAGCCCTAGCCTTCTGTAGGTGGGTGCCCCCCCTCCCTCCCCCCTTCGAATGTCGCGCGTTTTGGGTTACTTTGAAATCATTCCTATATGGTCGCACTAGCTTAAAGGCACAGATCACGACAAAAATGGTATCTGACATATCCCCTAGGCCGAACCTGGACGCCATGGATAGCCTAAAAGACGTTGTCGGGTCGGAAAAAGTCAAGATAGTGCCCCTAAATTAGGGCCCCTAAGTCGGCTAAGCCGAGGTATACACCCAAGGCGGACGAGCTCTCAGGCGTTGTGAAAGCTGTAGAGGTACACCGTTCACTAACATTCTCCTGCAACCCCTGGTTCTACTTTTTTTGAAACCTTATACCTCTCTGAATAAGCTGATTCTCGGAAGTATAGTGACATACCAGAAATAGTGATATTGGAGAGACGTTTCGGTCGGCCGGGGAAGCATTTGTCATGCAGAGCCGAGAAGTCTGCACGTCTCGCGACCACGTTTGCGATCGGTTCCATTTCCTGGATGGAGGCGGTAAATCAATGTTGGGCCGACAGAGAACGCCGAAAACATTTAAGCTGCAAGAACCAACCGATTCATCGTGATTATTCCGAAGATGTCGTTTAACAAGACGAGATTCTGGGGCACCGTATTCACACAATGGACATTGATGCAGCTGAATCATCAAATGCGCTTCGGCAATGTGCCTTGATGTCTGCCTTACGTCTTCGTCACAAAGACGACATCTGAAAAGCGAGACCTCACACTACAAGTGTGAATACCAATAATGGATACAGACCTATTGAAGTCCTCCATGACGCTAGCTGGTAATTTCCGATTGATCCAGCCTGGGAAGCAGCGGTCATTCCACTCAGCAATTTGTTGCGAGTACTGCAGCAAATTCGCTCTTGGCATGACATCTGCATTGTCACGATGCGTAAACCTAAAAAGGTAAGGATGAGGCCCGTTGAATCTGAAAACCGCAATTCAGGTCCAAATCGGACCAACTCCATCTATGTCTGTGAAGACATTCAGACCATCAATTGCCTTTGTGAATGAAAATCAAGCTAAGAAAGTGTAACCAAAAAAAGAAAAAAATAAAACCCAAGATCGTATGTGCTGATAATCTCACTTGATATGAGCCCGTACATCGCTAGAACAGGCATGATGAGAGAAATCGCACAGCGGGCATTCATAAAGACGGGGCTCCTTGAGATGATGTCGATACACGTGGATCTTAAAAATTTGGTATTTCAATCGACACCTGTGATACTCGCGCATACTTCATGATTACCTGTCGATCTTCAGTTTTCATCTCTTGATAGCACTCCTGACATGTGACCTTGGTCTCATCGTTGATCATCGTCGACTCTTTTCGCTTGTCAAAAGTGCCTGGCTGAAAAACGTTCTTATTAGTCGAATTATAAAAAAGTATTTTCTCAAAGTTATACAGGAAGGAATAATAGCGATCGCAATAGAACGACCTTCATTTTCCTTGATGGAAAGCACTCGGAAAATCGCTGCTGAACATGATCTGGATTAAGTTCCAGGTTTGAAATCGGATCCGAATCTGCATTGTTGTGCGTCTGTAGAAAAACAACAGTTTACCTTCACATTCTGAAGCTTCTTTGTGGATTCTTGACCCTTTCCTTGCAACTAATGTATACTATAATTTGACCTAAAGTCTTTTGGCTTTAATCAATCCCCTCTGAAGGATGCACCCCCGCACTCCACTTTAATTCAGAATCGTAATGGCGGAGTGAATGCGTATGTGGCCTATACGATGACTTGTACAAGTCGGTACTTTCATCTTACCAGACGAGCCTGGTACCAGTTAACCGATCCCGTAGTGCTGGAAGGGTTGGCCCAGGCGGATATCGGTCCTGGATTCGAACCCGCGACCCCGCGTGTGAGTTAGAACGTCACTTGCAACTACACCAGCTCTGCCCTGTATACCATCGTATCAGGACAAATCGCCATATTCGGCTATACAGGACATGGTCGCGCATCTAAACCGAAGTGCCTGGAAAAAGTCAGTGATGCGTTGTCGCGCAATAGTAACGAAGGCGGCTTTGTCAAGCAAGAATCTCCCCTCATTGCTTCACTGCGCGAATCACAGCCGGACAGAACGCGACACTGAGAGGTGCGTTATTTTTGATCCGCTTCTATAATAACCGTTCAAAATCCACAACCACTTTTGGGTGCTCCACATTGGTTTCTGCAGAGGTCAACTAACTATGCTGTAATTAACTGAGTTAGATTACCTAACGAACGCTGGATGAAACAACCTCAACCCTACTATGAAGCTTAAATTATTCTTTCCCAGGTTGGCGTGTCATTAGATGCAGTTGCAAACAAATATACTTTTTTATTGTAAACTTCTTCACCTTGACCATATGCGCTTTGACCTCATAGGCATCTGCTGCACCCCATTCACACTCTGCACATTGGAACAGTGGCATGTCAAGATGATCCTTCGCGACATGCCGGAGGAAATTCGAGGTCGGTTTGAATTCTTTCAGGCACATCTGAATATGAAAAACTTTTAGTGGTTATTCAAATGGAACAAGAGAAGATTCGAAGGAGAGAAGTTCATAGAGGAAAAATACAACTGAACTACTGAAAAGTAACAAACCCGACAAGTCCACTCGCTGACACGCTTCATTGGTTGGCCAACGTGATCCTTGTTTTGATTATCCAAAGAATCATCGTAGACTGAGTCATCCTGAAATGAAGAAGATGAAGTGAAGAAGGAATGAATCACGATGTAATTAATTACCAATTAAGGATGAAGGACCTAACTATTTCGCTAAATCAATCATTTCAATGCCAACCTCTTCATTCCCAGTTGAACTCGGGGTGCTCGCTTTTGCGCAATCCGACGTATTTTCGATACTATCAACATCTATCTCCAAGTCGTCATGTTTCATCTGAAATTCAAAAGCTATTGCTTCCGAATATAAACGTGGGTGCAAAGGTAATAAAGGCGAGACTGGTTAGAGCGATTCACAAAAGGTGGGAGGAGAGGAATATTTCGATACAAAAAAAGCAGGATAAAAAGTCGTAGACATGTTCAGCCAACAGGATACACATTACTCTTTGCTTTCACAGCAAATAAGCAGCTTTCATTTCTAAACATCGAGTAACCTCTTACCTCGGACTTTTTGTCATCATTTTCTAACCACCAGAACGGTTTCCGACGATGCTGCCATCCAGGGAAACATTCTTCGTTAAGATGATCAATTTCTTTCCTACAATCGAAGAGTTGATGTAAATTCTGACATATTTGTTGTAAACATTCATATAAATACACAAGGATGTAGGCCGCTCGGCATGCAGCTCTCTTACTAAACTTCCGTATTAGCCGAAGAATAACTTGAAGAATCTCGTCGAATTTGGGACTAGTGGAGCATAGGCCAGTGTTTACAAGGCCAATGATTCCTGTCTATAGCCAATGGTGCGTACTCAAAAAGAACAGTTTTGTGGAAAATCTCGGAAACAAAGCATTCCAAAGTATTGGAAGGGGCGGCTAAAGGCAAACGAGTTGGTGAAGTAGGGAAAGCGTCTTTGGGTGGGCGGGGCGCTTTTCATGTGGGTGGTGCTACCCGCAAAATTTTATAAACCGGTGTCGAGGGCGTCTAGAAACCAGAAAAATTAGCAGTGCGCGGTATATCGAGTGCTAAACATGATCAAAACCAAAGGAGATGAGCCTGACGATCACATAATTGTGCCCTTTTCTAAATGGTGCCAACCACAAAACTTCAGGAATTTGTTCCAGGATGTTCTACAGGCCACGATAAAGCAAAAGCTATAGAAGACTAACGGAGCTATAAAAAAGGCTCAGAAAAGAGGATATTTGCTCATGAAAGACAAAGTCGTTCCGACCACGAGGCGCGTTCAGACAGCCTACTCTTGCCTTGTAAACTACCTACTACTGATACTTAATCATTTCATTTTCTACCTTTCTACTATATTCATATCAGGAATTAGTGAAAAAATACGGTGTAGCAATACCGTACCTGTACTCATTTTCGTGAGAAATGGGCTCCAGTTCTTTGTCATCCTTATGCATCCACTTGATATGCCATTTAACCCTGAAAGCTCTCACTGATAAACAAGCTGAGAGGACTTAAATGCCAATCAAGGGGGGAACCGTACCTGTGAACATCGTAGTTTGACGCAAAATTACACAGCGGACATTCAAAAATTCGTGTACGCTGTAGATGCCTATGATACACATGTCGCTGACGGTCAGATTGCGCTACCTGAAACTCCTACTGTAGTCCCTCGAAATCTCTTATATTCTCCGACTCCGTGACCTTCCCGGGCCAACTCACCTGTGTACCACATATTTTACAATGATGCCGTTCCCTCGGACGAGTGCTCTCTTTCGGCCGGACGAGCTTCATTGGACGATTAGGGAAACATCGGTTCTGCAGATCCCGTATTTCGTCAGCATACCGTTCTAGATTGCTAAGCGGTTGCGCGTCAGGGCATTCAGGATGCACCTGTAAGTGATCATTTGGGTCCAACAGCCAGAATTGTAGATGGCGGTTATACTCACTTTGTGAATGTGTTTCATTACCGTACATCCTTCATAGCTGCCGAAACCTTCACATATAGGACATTCGTATAACGGTTTCTTGAGATGTTTCTGAGCTATGTGCCGCCCAGGATACCTATAATTCAAGCGTTTTAAGTTGCCTACTTCCTCGCTATGCCCGCTGATCTTGAGCCGAAATCTGTCGCTGCACTTACCTGCTCTCTTCCCAACACAGATGACATGTTCGGTCGTCCACATGAAGGCCATCTGGTGCCGGTGTCCTCGGTTCAGAATCGTCTCTATCCTCATCCCGAATTATTGAATCACCAGGTTCTCGACATAGTATAGCTTCCTAGAGCAGCTTCCTTTACCCATTAGCTATACTATCAGTTCCATACAGTACTGGATTCACAAATGAAGAACTTGTTTACTATCTACAAGGTTGGCGATTTGTGAGCTGAACTTCGGATTCGCACGGGACTCGAACCAGTAGTTGTGCTTTTCGAGCACCGAACTCTTTACCCCCTACGATCCGCTTGCCTTCGTCTTCTTAATGGTTTATATGCAATAGCTGATCAGGATTCATGCGTACAACGTGGGTGAGCTTGTCAACCTATATCAGCACTGAACCGTTATACTGTAAAAGGGTGGAGACAAATGGGGCCTTGGTATTGTAAGAGATGAAGAGCACGGTGCTCGGATTGCACAAATAGGCGGAATTGCCTATAACTCGCCCCTGTGGGGCTTTCGGATCGCGTACTGCGGCGAAATAGCGGCAATTTACAAAAACAAAGTCAAAAAATATTTACAGTCATACTGATAAGGATATGATAATCACGATAAGTAACCCGTCCTAGACCAGGATGTCTGTGTTAGGCATTCAGAAAGAAGAAATGATTTAGAGAACAAACCACCTGCCTTACAACTATAACCCCAATATTTCCCGACTATCTGCTCTAAGCCGCAAAGGATATTCTCAAGGGAAGAGGAGTAAAAGGGGCAGATCTGAGGAAGACAAGCTGTCCAACTGCTAGAATTAGTTGACCGTAATGTATGAGATCATGGTAGTCGAGCAACGGTCATTCCAGAAGGAGTGGCCCCCGGTAAAAACCCTTGAATTGATCAGAATATGCAATAGTTTTACAGGTCTTTAGTAAAAAAAGGATGGCGTTTGAACTTGGAAGATATGAACCCTACTAAGGAACTTAAACTACAGTACACTCAGAACCACAGTAATTCTTACCCTGATCATCGCCGTCACTTCATCGTTGTCCATCATTTTAGTGTCCTTGTTTTCCTTGGTCGATTGTGAATTGTTGTAATGGGTCGTTGAATTCTCATCAGATGACCACCACTGCGGTCGTTTCTGCTTCCAATCAGGGAAGCATCGTTTATTCCACATCTATAATATATTGAAATTGAAAACCTTAATAAAATAGGGAAGGTTCTGATCAAATCGCGTAATTTGGTAGGGTATTAGGTAGCGACAGATCGCGACAGTCATTACGATGGGTGCAGAGTCGAGCAGCGGCGCGATTGGTACAGTTCCAGCACCATAGTGAAGCACTCCCCGCCTTTGAGATTATAGATGACTTTGAGACCGACAAAATGTTTTTGATCCATGGGACCTAGCTCTATCTAAGGTGTATGGTCAGGGTTAAACAGATACTGAATGAAAAATTTAAGGAATCCAAAATCTGGGCATTGCCGGGGTATTTGAGCGGTGACTAAACTTCGTCCCATTTTTACTCCCACCCTTTCTTTCCCACATAAAATCCACTTTTTCAGGAAAGGAGCCCCGCCTCTCACCACCACGCCCACTCTATTGTTCACTTATGGCCAGCCCTCAGAGTCAGAATGTGGACCACATTTCACTCCCGTGGGTGATGGCCGAGCTAGAGCGCTCACTCACCGAAATACTTACCAGTATAAGGGTTTTGTGCTTTTCCTCATTACTGATCGGTTCGACACCTCGGCCATGTTGACTGGTGCAATGCTTCTTTGCTTCCCAAACAGAGTTTGAATTCAAGTAATCACATTCGGGACATCTGGAAAGCGTTCAACTCCAGGCAGTCCTTTTTAAATTGTAATATTGTGATGTACAGCAATTTTCAACACAACTCTCACTTCTGGAGCCAATTTCATAAAAAACAAATAAAAATAAGGAAAGTGAGAACAAGCAAATGCAAAAACTCTCAAGATTCAACGTCGAGGGAGAAGGAGCGTTATCAGCGGGGATTTATAATAGTTTACCGGGATTGCAGTAGAATAAACAGCCAAAAAGATGGAAAAAATTGTATCGACACAACTATTACTAGAAATATATAGATAAGAAAAATTTTGGCAAACTTACTGGTACATATCCTCCTTCTTTACGTGCACCATGAAAACATGCCGTTGCCGAGCAGTATTACATACTTCTATTTTACATACCTGAAATTGCTCTATTAGTTCCAAAAATACCAGTTATAGTAAGAGGTATCATAGGTTTACACGGAAGTGGTATGGTAGGAAGTGCACACTATCACACCCGCATAGCCTGGGCGCCGGACCTAATCGCCCAGACTAATCAAGTCTTCAATCACTCTCTTTATTTGTACTAGTTTTGCCTAGAAGGATAAAAGCACTGACTTTTACAAAGGATGCCTACTGCAATTCATTGTTTCTCCTACTCTAGCCTTTTCTTCCTCCCCTGTATTGCTCAAACACTGCCCTTCCCCTCGCAAACTTAGCCCTAAACCCGAACCCGGTGAACCCAGAAGCGACTAATTCTTTCGCCCAGTGGTCACAGATGGCACAGAGAATAATGCTAAACGAATTTACGATTCATAACCAAATACTGTCAGAGAATTACTTCTCGGAATTACAATTAAGGTCGGTTCGCCCTGAACGTCACAGGTTTGAACCGATCCCCTCACTCTTCCCTTATTACCTGACCTCTATACCAGACCATTGTCCAGCACGCTCAGCGCAAAGCTTTGAATGAAGAGAAATTGCTTACATACCACGCAAGTGACTTTATTCTTGGCTTTACTATCGACTAAACCGCTAACATTTCCTACATCTTCGACGTTATCGAAAAACATCAACGGATCGAACATATTCAGCTCATCTTTGATCTGTAAAATAAATCACAATAATTCCAAAAATACTTTCAAAAAGTGGCAATTGCTTCGTTGACTTCGTGAGCAGAGGAGGGCTCGAAAAAGAAATCCGCAAAACATCTTCCCTCACCTCAGCATGATTATTCGTCTGCCCTCCGTTTCTACGTTTAGCTACGACACCATCACTTGACGATGTATTTCGTTTCCTAGGTCTCTTCTGAAATATTAAAAAAGATCGGGTCTGAAAGTTGAAATTTCTCAGTCAGCAATACTTATAAGTCAAAACACTCAGCAATAGCCCCCTTCCCCAGGGTAATCTCAATGATAATGCAGAACAAGGAAGGGACGTATGGCGTAGACGCAAGGAGAGGCACTGCTGCACTTATAGGTAGCCATATCCCTGGGTAATGAACTTATCAGTAAATACCTTTTTGCGATCATTCGAACTGGTCAACCTTCACGCGTACAAACTGCCAATCACTGTACTGAATGCACGATTGCAGAAATGGTTCAGTCTGCTAAGTAAACGAGAGCTCTACCCAAAACATGGGACGATTCCGAAGGGATCGAGGATGAGATCAGGGACGAATCAGAATTAATTCAACTAAAGCCAAGTTTTTCTATTCAATTACCTTTCACTACTCATAGATCACCCAAATTATAAGAACGTTCCAAAGAGACTGAGTGTGAGTTTAGGACAGACGATGACTGATTCGCCCGAAATTTTATCTTTTCTCTCCAACTACTCGCCACTGTTTATAAATAACGTTACGTGGATGCAGTTGATACTATTCGTGGACTATAAACTAATGAAAGGGCGGGAGGTGGTGCCGTGGCAATGGCACATTTCACACATGCATGGCCACACGTTCGAATCCCGAATCGATATCAGAATAGACCAGCCAAGCCCTCTATCCCTCCGGGTCGATTAATTGGTACCGGAATCGTCTGGGAGGATAAAAGCACTGATTTGCACATCGGCTGGTCACCGCAAGTCATTGTACAGGCCACACAGCATTCAACACGCTACTGAATGAACGCCCCAAGTCTTTAGACTTTTGAAAGACTTTGGTAAGCACCAGTTCACGTATTACGTATTGTTCGTGCTGCCATATTTATCCGTTCCGTGAGCCATCAAACTCTCAATTTCTTGCGTGTACAAGATTTATCCACTTCCCTTGACCGCAAGCACACGTGGAGGTTCCTCGCCCTACCGTATCCTCATTCAAACATATCCCGAAATCAAGTTGGAACCTTATGGCTCACTCTGTTTGGCTTTCCCGTTTATTCATTCTCCTCGTCTGCTGCCTCATTAATTCAGCAGCGAATCCAAGTATCCCATGGTCAGTTAGGTGAGCAATTCATTTATTTCTGGCTTCCACACTCAAGCCTTAGGGAACATTTCCTTAGAAGCCATACACCTGTATCAAGTCCCTCCTGACTACTCGCAGCTTGGGCTCCTTTTTCAAGCTGTTTCCCTCTTGTATTTCTCCTCCCAACGTTTCAGTTCCTTTACACCTTTCCGTTTACAAAAAGTCTCCGTTGAAAACCTAATTTATTTTCACATCTGTTATTTTTTTCATCACAATGTAGCAATTAACACTGGGTGTCAGCTGTCATCCAGGGCTTCTAATGAACTTTCTTTGGCCCATTACATCTCAATCTTATTCATCAAAAACTTTTGCAAAGTTCGTAGGAAGGACGAACTGGATATGTTGGCACAGGCCTCGAGAAGAAGAAAGTCTTGGGCAGATCGACGAAGAAAAAAAATTGTCACAGAAAACAGTCAACATTCTCTTCGAGCAGCTCATAGACGAAGACGACTTGAGGGAGGGTCAAGTACCGCACAGGCCAAAGAGACCATCCAAAGCTCCGAGGCCCAATAACCTTCTTGAGTAGTTGCATTACGCACAACGCAATTTGATGTACCCAAAGGTACTGATTTATGAGCAAACCGCCCGATCTCAAGCGGGCTCGAACTGGTAATTATATATTTTAAACCCCTCCTCTTACCCATGACCCTACCAATACCACACGCCCAGTCTCCTTGCAGCCTTCACATTTTGAACCGTAAAATTGCCAAATTAAGAGTCAACTATCCCTATCCAGTAATCCCGGAAGCTAATGGTAGAATTAGAAGCTCGATGACAGACTTACCTTTTCACCATCGACACCATTTCCATTCAACAATGAATTATTGCCATTGCTGATAAAAGCCGTCAACAGCGTAGCAAAGTCGAGCGGATCAGCCGATGTTGATTCGTTACTCGAGTCGTCATCCGGACTTGTATCCTGTAAAGGGCTCCTTTAAACTTCCTCAAAACTAACCAAATTATTTTTATCTACTGATTTTTGCTATCTGTGCGGTTTGTTTGCCGTACAGAGATTCTACTCTGGAGATAACTAACAATCGCTGATATCAGAGATGCTGGAAAGCGATGCAGCGAAGAAAAAGATAAGAAAAGAGTAAGCAATGGCAAAGTATGAAGAGATCTCAGCGAAGTCACACCCTTTGCTCCTTGATCCACTTGACTGCCCTTCAAAAAAAGGATTCAATCATTTTAGTACACAAAGGTGAACCGGAAAACATAAAAGAAGTTCAAAAAAAAAGAAGAAAAGAGCGAACAGTAACTTTCTGAGCTTTTTTATGAAAAAAACATTGATCGCATGAGCAAAAAAAAAGAAAAACAATGAAAAAAAGGTTGCACTGGTTACGAGTCCATAGCTTTTTGTTCCACTCAAAAAGGACAACAGTACTGTAATCAGCTGACAACCTAACAACTTATGAGCTAACTCGTTCGGGACCTAAGCAAAGGGTCCCTTAAGAGGACAGGCGTCAAGTTATAGGAGCACATCCCACTCCCCGATGGGTGTAGCACAAAGGTCCTCTGAAGAACATGAAATCACACGAAGTAGGTCTGAAATACCGTCTACTATTCTGCTGTTTTCCACTGTCCGCTCCGCTAATGCAGCGAGGTCCACTGGACTCATTCAAGAATTGAAGGAGAAGGCTTTTTGAATGAATAGCTAAGTTCTCATCATGAGTTGGGGCCCGATTTGAAGCCATTGGAGAGAGTTTAGTGAGGGAGAGCTTCAGATAGAGCTCCTTTCATGGACCAGGTCGTTCCCAGTTTCCTTCGGAGCCTCTAAATGTTTCTCAGAATCCATTGTTCCTCACTTTTCCCTGGAATTGCTTCCTGAAATAAGTCCATTTCGTCCAGTCTGTGATATCGACGGTTCAGTTACCCTATAATCCATTCAAAGGCAGATTTTTTTGCCACCCTTTCAATGGTCCATACTTTCCGAGGCATTTTCGAACACCACCGGCCATCCAACACCATACATCCCTCCGTGGTACCTGGCGTTTTTCTTTCGTTCGTGCCTTCTAAGCGGGCCAAGTGACTCATCCACACTGCCCACATGAGAGCAAAAAACGGATGAAGAAAGCGAAGAAAGGATGATGAAAAAGTGAGACAGACGACGGGAGATAACGGAGAATGCAGAGGGAGATGGCTATAAGTTCCCTTTTGTGCAACGCGCTTATGAATCGACGGCAGCATGCGTATGGGTGCTCTGCGAGTAATCGGCCACAGGTCGCACGTTTCGGTTGTTCGATATGATAACAACCTACGATAAGCAAAAGGATCATTCATCAATAATAGCAATCAATACTAATTCAACCATTAAGCCATTAATATGCTAATCCACCAGGCATGCCATGAGTTTCGACAAAACATTTAATTTGTAACTCGGGTGGAATAACGGAGGCAACAGCAGGTGTTACGGTACCATCGGGGGACCATCACTCAATCTATTTGTACCGTCCATGAAATCGCCCACATTCGCGACTGCTTACTGTATGAACGTCATCCAGACCACAGAACGAGAAAAAAGAACGGAATGTAAATGAAGTTTTTGGACAATGTTCCATCAGCATGCCACCTACAGGCATCGGTATGGTAGATTTAAGAAATGGGATTTCTGCGTGGACAATGAAGAAAGAATCGACCGATTGATTGAAGTGAATGAATCGCGCATACTTCAGCTTACTGGGGAAGAGACTACAGGCTCCACTATCAATTGCTTTCCTCGCCGAGAACTTAGAGCAGATAGAAAGATGAAGGTCCGTCTGTACATGACCCATGCCATACAGTAAAAAACCCAATACCCATAAATCCAACGGTAAGTAGAAAAAAAATTATCGAAATCGGTCAGGAGCTCCTTCTACATCTACCGTAACAATAAAAGAACCCCGCTGTATCCCATCCCTTTTTGCTCAAACCACAGAGCCAGTATGTCGGACTCACTTTGAATGTCAGCTGCGTGTACACTTGCTTACTCATTGGCAACCCATGTACTGACTAGTGCTAACCGCTATTTATACCACCGAGGTAAGGTTCCGGCTTTCTTTCCGAAAAGGTGTAAAAATAAAGAAACTCGAATCAGACAGAGTGGCACAACCTCCCACCCAACCGGTACGATACGCCACGCATTTGAGTCTCCTTCGAAATCGTTGAAGCGCTTTTCCGCATACAGCGCTCATGCAACTATATCTTCTCCATTTAGTAGCACTAGTCAAGTAAGTAGTGATTTAGAAAACATCTGAAGTCAAAAAAGTGACTTTAGCGGATGAAATAGCTTGTCGTTTTGACCACGGTTCGAACTTGTGGAGCTACTAGTCCAACCTACTCGTAATGATCATCAAATGTTCTAGAAGTAGGCTTCGAATGAGTCTAGGCTGAGTGATCTTTAATTGATATCCTGGAGCAGTGGGCATTAAGCCGGTAGCCGTTTAGTTCTTCGAAAGCCTTCAGCGTCTTTGATTACATAGTATGCAAGGTGAGGAAAAAAAACCGCTGCACATTCCGATATGCTGTAATTCCACTGGCCAGGCACTTTCTCAGGTCATAAAGTCAATGCTCCGAACAAAAGCCTTTTTTGTTAGTATTTGACAAGAAAAACAACCGCAAGGACCTTCACGGGACGAGTGCACCAGTTGAAAAAATGTAAAGTAATGTGGGCCAACTTTTTAGTGCATCCCACATGCTCAGTACAAAGGACAAAAGCCACGTAGTTGTAAGAGAACCAACGAACGTGATTACTGCCCAAAATGGAATATTCTCTTCGGATTCTGCTCCAGCTGCGGCTCTCAGACTAAAGAATTGGGCGTGCGGCAAGATTTTCTGAGGATAGAGTAATATATCTAGTCTCAAAGTTTCTAAATTCGTTATACCGTACTTTGGGATGTGCCCACTCATTGGACTTTTACTCATAACCTTCGTGGCTTTTATCAATTTTGGGTGACGACTATCATTTATGCAGGCCAATCAATAAACAGTCAAAACTGTTATACCCAGTATCCCTCGTTAGTACCAAAACCAAGCCAGTATTATGGAATACTCTGCCAGTTAGAGCAGAATTTGAGGACTGTGGGAAAGGGGAAAGAGACTTTGAACTCAAGAACAAGCATTTGAGGGCGCTTACTACTTAGTCTTATCCCCCTTGTATCTCTAAGAAATGTATGCATACAATGCTTAGTTTGAGAAGGGAAGAAGCAATAGTGTAAGCCCCATAAAGTACGTTCTCATACTTAAATCGAGAAGTAGGTTTTTTTTTTATCAAACTACCTCATTTGCAACAATCGTCTTATCAGTTTTCCTCCTGAAATCCAAAACTCCACAACTTACGCTCTTTTTTCCAATAAACGAAGCAATAGACAGAGGAATGCCCTATGAGACATATCACTTTTCTTTATTAAAGGTTCCTACTTCATTACTTACTGCTTAACTTAAAACGCTTTCGTTTCAGAAAGGTTCGCTACCCCTTAATCAGTGCTTTTCCACGGTCCCTAAGCCGACACCAAGCTGATGCCGATGCCCCTTGTGCATCTCTCATGGGCAGCCTTTCAACGTACCACTACCACCTCCTCCGATCGACCTCGCTCTCTACGACGAGGCCACCAAGCAATCGGCAACCGGCATGGTGATGAGCGAGCGCAGCAGGCAACGATAGTTATTAGGACAGCTGTCCGCCTTGGACACGATCGCAACCATCAACGTCACCACCACCACCACCACCGTCATCCTCCCTTTCACGCGAATGCTTCGTGACAAACAGAATTGGGGCCAGAATACCAACGTCATCGACACATGCAATCAGCATATGATGGGTCGTCCTCATCCAGGGCTGCTGACAGCTCTACTAACGATCTGCATCCGAAAAAGAACCAACCAGCGACGACCATCCCTTCAAAAAGGCGAACGTTTGCTTTACATTACATACCACATCGACTTTTCGTAGGCATTTGCTTTGAAAAACGACCAAAGCAATACGACTCTCAAAGCTGCTTCACACCTCCCCTGACCAGCCTCGCACCTACAAGTTGACCCTAACAAAAAAGGCTCTCGGCCTCAACAGGTCTTCTGCACCGTGATGTAACATGACCCCACTGATCATTCCGCTATCAATGCCCTTACCGAGTCAGTATAACTGTCATCTCTCTCGACTCTACCTGCCCATCCGGGTCTCATTAACAAAACAGGGGGGCCGGGGTTGGTCCCCCCAACGAAGTTGGGCCTATCCTCATCGTTATGGCCACACGTCATTGCTAGTCGCCGTTGAAGGGCAGCATGACTCACTGCCAGCAGTACCACCAACAGGCTTTGGAAATTTCCGAAATCATTCGATTTTGTAGGATAATTGGGAGAAAATGCCCTTCAAAGAAAGAAACCAATTGCTTTGGACCGAAGAACAGCAAGGGTTCCAGAACGGCCGACAGATGAGATTGTTCAGAAATCGCTAAGAGATGTCCAAAATGAGATTCTTCCCCTTTAGAGTCAGTTCACATGGAGTTCCTACATTTACATTTCATGCCCAAAGCCAATCATGATGATGTATGTGGGCAAGGGCGAACGGCTAAGGAACAGATTTCCATTCCATAAATTCTTTCCATTTCAGCTTTCCATAAATTTTCCGACTGCAGCACAACGCCCGTTCTGCTGTGAACAATTTCCCACATAAGGTGATTCCCGTCGAGGATCACTCGACCTACAGACGACCAGTCATTCCTCCCCCCATCACCCACACCACGCTACATTGCTGCTCTTCTCGTGGCATCATCGTCAGTTCGTCAGCAAGAAGGCAGCTCTGTGAGGCGATCGTAGCAAGCAGTGCAATCGACCACGCCGGCCCGTTCGTCCTCCCCCCTTCGTGCCGATACCGACAAACTGCCTCGTTTCTGCGCCAACGATCAGTCACAGCCGCATTGGCGTCATCTCCGACGACAAGGAACCGAACGCAATATACATTTCGTGCACCATTACATTTACCCATAACGGTTTGCTTGAGAGATATTAGGCAAACCAGGGGAGGGCAAACACTATAGAACTGTTACCCAAGGACCTGTGCGCTAAGACATGTATTGATGTTGCCTATTTGGGAATGAGTTTGAGAGCATGAAGAAGTCATGTGATCTGTTCCGCTAGTTGGTTGTTATCCTCAGTAGGGCCACAACCAGAGGTTCCATTTTGGCCACATTTGGTTCTGGCCACATCTCCCGTACTATGAAAGCGTAATGAGAATGAGTCATCAAAAGGTTCGATGGACGGGTCTGGGAACGGAAGAGGTTGAATTAAGGGTCCCATGGTGCACAGCAGTATCGAATGCCGGTCAACCAAAATGGCTCTGAGTCATGGTAGAGGACCCCAGATGCTAATGAGATCTGAGTCAGGGCTTACACAGGTACCAGAGAGGTGGGAACCGATCGTCCACTACTGCGTGATACAGCAGGGTATCACTCCCATGAATCACATCATAACTAAGAAAATTAGCCCGTAAAAAAAATAAGCGACCGAAAACTCCATCAGACCAAAGCAAAAATTGAAAAGTAAGGCATTGCCTTAAAATAAATGAGCAATTTCGTGATTTTTCGGCTGAACACGCAAGCAAGCAAAAATTCCCAGTTGGTGTTTGTCCGAAATAGCAGACAACTATCATTTGAGCGCAGTTGTGAATGTAGACCAGCCGATTTACCTTCACACGAAACTTGGGAGGAAAGGCCTGTTTCACTAGCTCCGTTGGACAAAGAAGCTGAGCAGGAAAGTCATGAATGGAGAGCCAAGGAGAAAAGGGCTCTTGAATGCGTCATACCTTATCAGTCTGACTCCTTGGTTACTCCTTTCTCTGTTCGAGTAAGTAGTTGCCTTAATAATGCTCCTTGAAGCAAAATCAGTTCAGCAGATGATACAAAGGCGCAAACGCCTGTGCCACTTCCCTCAACCTACCACACTGTAAGGTTCAAGTACTTGATCTTCACCGATCCTCAAGATTCTATACGATCAGAGAGCGACCTTAGAACTTTTACTGATTTCCTTTCCAGGGTATATTCTTTACTTGAGATCTTCATTCGATTTCATTTGGTTAGCCGGCTTCTTCCAGACGGCTATTCATTCTTTCGGAATGCTATGACACCCGCGAACTCCTTACTTTATGGGCAAAGAGTAATGATTGATCCTTCTAGAGTGAAATAACATGCCGACACTATAGTATCTCTGGAGAGGTATAATGTAGGAGCACAGGCGAACTTGAGACCAACTTTTCAGAAACAGCTATTCATTACGACAAATCTCGTAACTACCTTGCGTCTGATGACGGCTGGTTCTCTGGCTAAACTGGCTATTCGCAGTTTCTACACTATCCAGCCTGGCAACTATACTAACCTACAGGATAGCTCCTTCGTGACTTTCCTGTCAACCCGACGGATACCTGGAGGGATTCCCTACGCCGTCGCTAACCAACACTATCGGTTTCATTAATTATTCATATGAATCTGTTTTACTAGGCATTTAAACAAGTTTTTGTGACTTTCTGATGTAAGCCCTGATCGAAATCTATCGTTACAGAAAGCCACTGTAAACTGAATCGTCTACAGTATCCGAATTTTCAAGACCGCACACACACGCTTCATCAAAGGCTCAATGCCAATGAAATCTGATAATGCCACTCTCTCTATTTTGTAATCCAATCCTCTTGATTCTCTATGAGTTCATGGTAAACTGTTCTAACTAATCTTCCGTACTATATACCCTTAAAGGGGCACGGGCACAATCTAGGAGGACTCCACCAGAAAGCTGAATAACTAAGAGTCCCCTACGCATCTACACTTCCAGGCTCCCTTCAGGCTTTGTTCGCCATCATCAGCAATTCTTCAAGGGCCGGGCAATCTCTAAGTGCTATCATCAGTGAGGGAGACCCGTTCCTACTGACCTTGCGCCTCAGCTGTCGGCCAGGCCAATGTGAACAGAGACTGGAGGATATCATTGACGGCCCCGAAGACAAGTCCGAATGCAGTGATCGTTAGTGTTTATGTAGTGAACAGGGAGACGAGGGCCAGAGCGCCAGCGCGGCAGAGTCGCACCAGAAGACGACGGTTAGAGAGGCAGCGAAGGCGAACCACCACCTACCCCGCGCCGATCAACGACGACGACGACAAGCCGATGATGCTGCCGACAAACCAGGCACCCACACACCCACACAGACACGCATACACACATCAGAATGACGAAAGAGCCATAGCTATGGTGACTGTTGAGATCGATGTCGATGATGACATTAGAGTATAGCGATTACAGTATCCTTGCGTGGTATTTCAGGCATCCTCAAAATTTGTCTCCCTTACACTTCCAACTGGTCAAGAAGGGTTCGTTTGAAAAGCCGTTTTCGAAAATTCTTAAAATGAACCCGAGAATGGCGCGAAAATGGTTCTAAGTACTTGCAGGAGACCCTGCAAACTTTCCGGGAACCCTTAATTAGAAGGCCAGAAAGTACGACAAACGAAAAACGACAAATGGCCTACAGCGCAATTCGATGCACTTCAATTAAGAGTGAAGTTGATTCAAGGCCTCATTTGGATACCCGAACAAACGTTTTGAGTCACAACCAAATTTGAAAGTAGGAATAAGAAAGCGTCGAAGTTTTGTTAAAGACCGGCACCTGCAGGGATTGCTTCGACCATGAAAAACAAGACTTCAACATCTCAGATGACACCAACGATGGAATTTCTGGACTGCAGCACAAGACATCTACACCCTGTCACAAATTATCTACACCAGTCACATTCCTGATTCATCAAATAAAATTGCTTTCAAATTGATGTGTTCTGCTTTGTGACCAAATGAAAATGATACTGCATGACAATCAAATTTTTCTGAACTATAAGCAAAATTGCTTTCGTTAAAATTAACACAATCCCTGAATACCTATCTACCCTCGCAGATAAAATCCCTTCCCTCTCGTCGGTCCTTCGAATTGGTCGGCATGCGGCAGCTGATTGTCTCCCAGGCTCTCAATTCGTCTTCTCCTCCTCGTCGCAGTCGCTGCAGCCGGCCGTGCACTCTGCGTCTCTTCGAGCGTTGACCTCGTCGCTGTCGTTGCACAACTTGCCAATCCCCCGTCCTTCCCGCAACCACTCAACTCGTTGCTGCTGCTGTCCCGTCCCCGCCAGGCCGTCGTCAGCCGCCACCCTCTCCCTGGCGACGCTCTCTGGGGCGCTCGTTCGTCTCACCGGCTGCGTCGTCCATCCGCTTCCATGTCTATGACAGCTCGTCGCCGCTATCGGCAACGTCGCTTGGCTGGCTGGCTGGCCACGTTTGCTGTGACGAGACGAGAGAGACCAGAGCGACGACGGCAACGACAGGCGTAGATGAATTGCGTCGAGTTGGAGACGCACCGCCATCACATTGCCACAGAAATGCCGCACAACGACCATAGAACCCAACAAACCAACGAACAACACGCAGTTCGTCGGGTGCCTAGGGGAAAGGGTGGGGGGATGACAATTNGGGGGGGGGGGGGGGGAGGCACCATGACAAAAGGTCCCAACTGAAATGGGTGCACACCTGTATAGATTATAGCCATCTCAGAAGGGAGAATAATTAATGTTTACACGAAAGAGACGGTAAAGGAAGGAAAGAAATGCTCCTAGGATAGAAAACAGAGAAGCTTGTTGAGCAGGCAGTGCGGTTTATGGAACACGCCGTGCACATGACCTCGTTTAGCCAACTACGGTAACGTTTGGATGCTGCGAATCCGAGAGATGAATCAAAGAAGAAGCTTATGGCAATACCGTCAGGATGGATGGCTTGCACGGATGGGCAGTGTTCTCTCCGGGATTTGATCTGTCCGGGCAGTGCGACCAGCTCCCGCTTGGCATACATTTGGTATTTTAGCAACGGCCTCAACAAGCGATGTTGTCAGAATCCAATGAACACCTGTTACCTGGACCCAGTGAACCTTCACAACGGATTAGTTGCCTGACTGAATAAACACAGAGTAGTATACCTATTGTAAATCATTGTCCACTCATCAACAGCACATCAGGTAAAATTCTTACTTTAATGGTTCCAAAAATGTCCTTGAAATATTTGATCAATCAGAAATTTCCTATCCAGTAGAAACGTTTATTCCATCAGGTAGTTTCCTGCACGAGTCCGGGCGAGTTTATAAACAACTGGTCTCTCATATGTTGATTTTCTTTGCCTACCCACTTGGTAGGGCAGGCATCATTTGGTGGCTTATCTTCACTTAGTACTTCCTTGTCCTGAGTTCGTAGCTCTATCGAGTTTTTCTAACCATTGGGCCCGCCTTATCACTCCCAATCACTCGTGACTGTTCCGTCTCCAGCCTGGCCCTTTCTATCTACAAGGTTCCAATCACCTTTGACGTTTACGTGCAGCTCCCCACGGTGTGCCATGGGAGAAGGTCACAACTGAGTTAATCATTGAGCTGCTGTCGACCCCTATCAACTGCAGTACCGCAAATACTTCTTTCGCAAAGGAAATCCGTCAGTTTAGTTAGGGTACCCACTCAGACTGAAGCTTCTTGCATTTCTGCATTTCTCATGCTTTGTGCTTTCAAGATGAGTTTTTGCAGCACAACGCATAGTTCCAGCCAGAGGTGCAATGAACTGGAAAGAAGATCCTGATCTGAAGCCTCAGTTGTGTTTGAGGTCTTTTTTGAGGAACGATTTTCCTCCCAGAACCACCACGAATCCGGCCGTCACCATGGGCAGGAAACTGAGGCATTTTGCCGGTGACAATGAAGGTAATCGAAAGCTCTACCTCTGCCAAAGTATAATATAAACTGTTTTTTTATGATGACGTTAATGATGTCACAGAACAAATGTTCATTCCATCATGGTGCCTTCGTTGAGATAGGTCTAGTTGAAGCAAAAAACTTTGGTGGTGATAGTAAACTCAGGAAAGCGATGATGGCAAAGTGCCAAGTTGCGCAGTAACACGCGCTTTGTCTGGAAATTGACGCGGGGTCCTGAGACACCCACCCAGGTCAATCCTGCTATTCGTCCCCACAGAGCCAGTGAACTGGTATAAGACTCATCTGGGAGACTAATAGCACTGAATATTACTTCGAGTAGCTCCGCAAATCATTTTTTAGGCCAGATACAACACCGGTGCTACTTTTCAGAAAGGTTAATTCCAGAGTGCGTCCCAAATAGGGCCTGTCCCTGCCCGGACTTTTATTCTCCCATTGAAACCTCGAAGCTTCAGGAAAGAATTTTTGCCTGAATCCTCTGTAGAACTTCTTACACTCTCTATAGACACCAACCCTCTCCTTCTTCTAACCACGTAGCCCGCCAGCGACAGCCTCACAATCATCTCATCGCCGGTCAGCAGACGATGGCCATCGCTGGCAGAGTCTTGTCTCTGGCCCTCTGCCAATCCTTTCACACTCTCGCCTACCACAATCTGGCCACATCAGCCAGCCAGCCTAGCTATGGCGGCCGCGTTGTTTGAACCTTTGAGAGGTCATATCTCGCTTGTGGTGGAGACAAGCCGGCGACTGATTGGGCCATGATCGTTGATCTTCTTTTTCGAACACTTGGACATCCAGAGCCACTTAACAAGAAGGTTCTGCAGTGACAACCGTCACTGTCTATCGATCTGACTCTGTCTGGCCACGGCTGATGCGACTAGCACCGACTGTGACAGTTACGACGCGTAAAAGCTAATCCTGCAAAGCTACTGTAAAAAGTAGCGGCCACCAGGGGGTACAGTACAATGTAGAACTGTGTCTGGGTAGACATTCCCAATCGGGAACCTAGAAAGCGGAGAAAGACAAAGACAGTTCGAGATCCGTCTAATTCCCAAAAGTAGCATGAGGGAGGAGTAAACTTGGCTTCTCACTGCTTTTACGACTGGTAAAGCTCCGTACCATCGCCTGTCTTTGCGAAATCTTGCCAGAGCGATCCACAACTACACCGCGTGTGAAAGCTTGGGCTCAAACACATTCCATCCTCATGGACCTACGCAACCCCTCGCCGATACCCTTTCCGTAACCAGCAACAGCAGAATTCCAGCTAGCAACACCATCGATTCTCTCTACGTCGTCCCCTGGTTGTTCAGTCAGCCGGCTGACCGAGCTTGGCTAAGAGGGGACGGGCAGACGGACATGAGTGAGCGCCGCGAAACGAGCCGTTGTACACGCTTGCTACCCCACTGAAAGATAGTGAACGGGAAGGAGGAGCAGGACGACGATGACAACGAGGAACGAGCGACTGCATGGACGGACAAGTCGCCTTCACCGTCAACCACGATTCTATGACGCTTCATATGAAAAGGATCGCAGTGGCAGGGATTCAGAATTGCAGTCATCCGTACTGGACCCCATACGCACCCCAGAATGCGATCTATGACCAATGACCTCAGTTCGATTGAGATGGAAAGTATGCAGTTCATGGGTTCAAGATAGAAGATTGTTGCCGAGGAAGCAAATGGAAGAACATGGACCAAATTGAACTTTGGGACCAAAAAGACAAAAAACAGGTTCACCCAACAACACAACCTTCTTTACTCTCAATGATGAGTCCGTCCCCAAAAGAACCCAAACTAAATGTAAGAAAATCAACAGTTCCAAGACGTTAATCACCTCCCGGCAACT